ATGCAGTCAATTTAATTACAGATTAATTTCATGTAGCAAAGACTATATTGAGATTTTAGATTTCTTTTGAAATAATGCCTAAGTGTTACATAGTTATGTTTTCTTATTTTTATTGATAACTTGGAAGAACTAAAAGTAATGGATTAATACGAATTACTGTTTTGTCCTCAGGAATCTCATGCATCCTAAATAGCCTTCATATTAACACTATAATACATTAAATCCAAAAGTATAGCTTTGTGGAATTTTTATGTTTGGGATAATAAAATTCTAACAAATTCTGTCTTTATCTTACTGACTAGTTTGCAGGAGAATTAGAGGTATTTAAAATGTATGAGATCTGTTCAGAAAGGATCTAGCCATGTAATTTGAAAAATAGAGGATTTATTGAAGAAAATGAAAAATACAAGAAACATTGTATATTGGACAATGATGTCTCAGTCCCCTTCCAAGTAGGCACCTTTGGACCTCACACAGTTCTCCCATTTGCCATCATCTACTTTGTCTTACTTTCCTGACTCTCATCAATGGTCTGAAGTCTCTTCCCTTTCAAAGGTGATTTTAGTTTTAGGAAAAGCCAGAAGTCACAAGGCACCAAATCTGGGCTATAGGGGGTCTGAGTCACCTGGGTGATTTGACCTTTCACCAAAAAAAACTGCACAAAATGTGATGCATGACCAGGCATATTGTTGTGATGAAGCTGCCAGTCACCAGTTGCCCATAGCTGCGGCCTTCTGAATCACCTGAATAGTTCTGCTGAATTCAAATTTTGATGCAGATTCATTGCTCTACTTGCTCAGTCATTTTGAATGTGATGGCCACATGGTACACATGTTCACTCAAGGGTGTCTACCCCCACTGACTAGTACAGTGATGTCATTGTTAACACATGTAGACTCCAGTCCACTGTCCTTGGCTGTCACGTTATATCAGTGTCACACAAACCATTTTTGTTATATTAACAATAGTTGGACTCTTTTTGGACAGACCTCATATATTTCACCTACACTGTTTGGGATGCCTAATTAAGGCCAGGGGAGTACAGAGGTAAAATATGCATTCTCTGTGTTTTGAAGGAGCTCATGATACAGTGGAAAAGTAGATAAACAGTGACAACTAATTTTGGTAAATACCATAAAGGGGTATGCAGAGGGAACTTAAGAATGTAGGAAGGGCATCCAATTCATTCAGGGTAGATGGGTTGAAAAGGTTTTTCTGTGGCGGCAATGATTGCACTGAGTTTTAAAGGGGAAATAGGAGTTAACCAAGCTGAAAATGAGGGGGGATCTATCTCAGGCAGTGAATAACTTGAACAATGCTATTGTAATCATATAAGCTGCAGGTCATAAGGCCAGAACTAAAGTAATTGTGGAGATGCAAGGGAGGAGAAAGGTTCTTTATCTGGGGTTATGTCATATACATTATTATGTATTATTTTACTCACCATGTTGCAGCCACACTGGCCTTTTATTTCCTCAGATACACCAAGCTAATCCCTGACTTGGGGTCTTTGCAGTGGTTATTCCTGCTGCCTAGAATGTACATCCTTTCCCCTCAACCCTAAGATCTCTGACTGGCTGGTTCCTTTTCATTCTGGTCCCAGCTCATCTGTCATTACTGCAGGAGCCTTTTTACCCACGCTATCTTACAGTAATGCCCCTGGCTCCTCCTTCACATTGAGCATGTTACTTTTGTTTTCTTCATAACACGTATCATAATATGTTTACTGTTAGTCTAGATTAGACATGAAAGCACGGGTTTATCTTCAGTGATACAGGTGCTCAAAATACATGAATGGGTAGTGTTTATAGAACACACTTGAGCAAATTGGTCATACAAAAGGCTTTTTCGGTGGAAGTGCCTCCTTTAAGTGAAAAATGCTTCTCATAAAAACAACTTCAGCCAAAACTATTGTCAAGGTCAGCTTGGGGAGGTATATCAGCAACTGAAGCATATATACTTCCCCGAAGTGTCTAGCCTCTTAAAAATTCCAATCAAAATTATAAAATGTCCAACCTAACAACTTCCTGACCTTGATGTCTTCAAAAATGAAGGTCTTGGGTAACACCCAACATCATTAAAAAGACTTCAATTTAAATTCTACTAAAAGGAATGGAATAAAATTATGTTATCTCTGGACTTCATTGTAACATTAGAAAATCTAACTTTTCACTTCAAAAGAGAAAATAGATTTTCTACCTCTATAAATTACATATTATCCTAGAAATAATCCAGATTCCTAGAACATTTATTGTAATTCCAAATGCCAACAAAGACTTTGAATTATATCATTTCACTGGCTAGTGTTAAAATATTTAACTTTATTTTATTTATGATTGATTTCTTGTAATATATTTACTTCATGAATATTTACTCTTTAGAGTTTGGAGCATTATAGTGAAAAAAATAAAACCTCTTGGGGTTCATAGGTGATTCCTGCCTGGAAAATTAGGTAATTTTTTTAAAACCACACATAAAGTAAGAAAAATAAAAGTATATACAAATATGCATTTCTTGCTGGATTGGGAAACTTACTATTATGAAAAAGAATATTATCTTAATATACCTTTCAAACTACTTATCCATATTTTTTGTCATATATTGTTTTCTCCTAAGTTTAGTAATGAAGTTTAGCCAGTTCACAAGGCTGCTGAACACTTAGTTGCCTTTTGAGAATAAACTTAATTGCTATGGTGTTATTTAATACCATGTTAACAGTTGAACTGCTAATAACAGGTCATCTACCTAGCAATACCTACCCAATATCTCCATGGAAATTTTATTCTGTAATGTTTAACTCAGCATCTCCTTATTCATGGTTCTTACATTAATAATACCTGTTTTTTTAAGTTGGCTGTATATAAAAACTCATTTAATGTCAGACTATTCTTGAACTATTAACATATAAAATACCTGGCCTAAGCTACCCACTATATAGAAGTTTAAATTGTTGGATACTTCAGCCTTCTCTATAGTATTTTATATTCAGTTGTATGCTGTATTTCAAAGTACAAAAGAGAGGAGATATATTCTATTTATTCATTATGTGTGATAAAAAGTGGAAGAAAATTAAATATTCTTTCCTGACCGTATTTGTCATGATCACAGTATGCAAAGATATTGAAGTAGTGAATGTATGGGTATAGTTCTATTCAGGACAAAATTTTAAGTTCTGGTTACTGTCACTTACTACAAAAATAAGATTGCCCAAATTAATTTAGTGGTTAAAAATATAAATGATAGTAAGCTAGGCAGTGATTAGGGTAACATACATGCCTATTAATTAATTTATCTACCTCTGACGCATTATTTTGGATATAGCAATGAACAATACAGACAAAACTCTTTGCCTTTATGGGGTTACATTTTCATGAGATGAACAATAAGTGAAATAAATTAGTTTTAGCAATAACTGCTGTGAAAAATGATAAAGAAGGATAACAGGGATACAGTTTGAAATAAGAAAATACAAACATATATACATCTATACACAGTATGTTATTTTATATATTTCAAATAGGTAAAATGTTTAAATATAAAAACATTGAGTTATTTGACCTAATATTTATGTTTACTTATAAACTACCCATCTGTACTGCTGCTACTCTAAGCAAATTTTAGTGATTTTTATTTGTTTTAGATCAAAATAAACATAATTTAGAAGTTTTATCCCCCACCCCACCCCCAAATATTACAAGAAGGGAACCTTTCACAAAGGGTGCCATTGATTATTGTATGATGACAGTAACAGTAGGTAATTCTTATTGAATGTGTGCTGTGTGCCAGGCATTGACCTCGGTGCTTTGCCTATATTAATTAATTCAGTAATTGAGGGTACTTCCCATTCTCTCTCCACTTTACAGGTGCACAAAGAAGTTAAGTACTTTGTCCAAGGTCACACAGAAAGTAAAACCAGAGCTGAGATTAAAAATGCAGGCATGGTAGTTCCAGAACTAGCACTTCTAACTTTTATGTATTATTACATACTGCTTGTACTAGATATGAAGAGGAAGATGATAGACATACAAGCCATGGAGGAAGCATTAAGGAACTACCTTAAAATCATAAATTGAGACTTAAGATAATCATATATAGAATATTTTAAATCGTCTGTGTACTGAACCATAAATAACTTCCCCACCAATGAATGAAAAGACGTAAGGCAGAACAAGAGCTATTTTCCTTACAATGCAAAGGCCTGTTACAAACCAGAGAAGGATTACGAATCCTTTCCCTAAAACATGGACAAAAAACATGAATAGTCAAGTTGAAGGTTAAGAAATGCACAGACCATGAAAACACATTTAGTTTTTTTCTCTTTTGTATATTTAGATATGCAGTTTTAGAAAGTGGGTCTAAAAAATTAAGTTTAATGGTAACTAACAGGGAGACAGAGTTGTAGGGCTAATTAGAAGTGGCAAGCTGGCAGCTGAGTGATGTGCATGGGCACTGTGGTTTGAGAGCCAACCAGCCAAGGTTCCAGGAGAAAATTAAGCCCTACAGAAGGGGTTTGAGGAACTATTTCCTCAGGTTTCTCAAGGGTGATTTGTAGCTAGTACATTCTCGATGCATCAGTGACAAGTTAAATTATGTACAATGGATGCCTTAGGGCATTAACATTCCTTTTTGGAAGGCCTGGCTAATAAGATTGGAAATAAAGGAAGTTTATTCAGGGGACTCAGCAGCAGAAACCTGGGGAGAATCTTTTGACAACTATATAAAGAGGATAACAGAAAATATTTCAGGGGCCAAGAGGAAGTTTGAGAATCGAAAGTGGTCAACATTCATTCCTGTTACAGGTTAATTTTCAGGAATTCAATTGGGTCTTACCTAATGCAGTTACAAAATCCGCATGCAAATATTCAATAAAATGATGCATAAAAATGTTAGAATTTAAGATTGGATTATTTCACTAAGTAAAACATTTATGATATAGCAAGAAAATAATTAGTCTTCATCATGCTGTTTATTATAATCCTAACTATGTATTTTATTTCCAGGGAACCTTTTATTATTTTATCAGGAGGTTTGTCATATGATACTGTAGGAAGAAGACCTTGCTTGACAGTTATGCATGGGAAAAGTACTGCTGTGCTAGAAATGGACTATTCCATTGTTGATTTCCTAACATTATGTGAAACACCGTACCCAAATGGTAAGCATTACATCTTTAAAGCTCATTTTCTATAGATATCTATATTCAGAACAAAGACCTATATGTTATCTTAGTAATGTCCTTAATGTATTGTGCTCATTCTTCTGGGAGGAGATGCTGCCATCGTAACTTGGCAAGTTTTATTTCAGAAGTTAATTTTGTTGTATTACATATTAGTAGTAAGTGCCTTTGTAGGATAAACAGAACTACCCACATTAAGAAACATTTTAATATTCTGTAAAATACTAGTGTATTAGTCAAGGTGCTCCAGAAAAAAAAAAAACAACCATTTGAGAGAGATATAAATACAGATAGAGAATTTGAGGAATTGATTCATGCAATTGTGGAAGCTGGTAAGTCTAAAATTTACAGAGCAGTCTTGCAGGTTGAAAATTCAGGAAAGTTCATGTCACAGTCTTGAATCTGAAGGCAGAGTTATTCTGTTTTTTTTTTTTCCCCCTAGAAAGTTTGTCTTTGTTCTTCAGGCCTTCAGCTGATTGGATGACCCACATTATCTAGCATAATCTTCTTGGAGTCTGCTGATTTAAAAGTTAATCACATCTAAAAAACATAAAATACTTTCACAGCAACAGCTAGACTAGTATTTGACCAAACAGATGAGTATACTGCAGCAAAGAGAAGTTGGCACATAAAATTAACTATCATAACTTGCATAAATGTCAAGAGGAATTTAAATCTGGATTTTTTTTACTTCATTTGAAGCTAATTGGGATGTAAAGATGTAATGCATTTTATAGTTAGCAGGCACATATAAAATATCCAAGATAAAGCCTATATAATATAATAGTACTCCATTGGGTTTCTAAGATATCCAATAATGAGAGTTCTTATGCATATTTGGATTTACATTTCAAATTTGTTGGCCATGTCTGTCTTGTAGTTTGCAGTACCATAGAAGTTACTGTGAGCTGCTTGTTTTACTCACTATTACAAAACTGAAATAGTTTTTATGGGTTATTGTATAGCTTTATCTCACTTAGAAAATACTACCTTAAGTTATATTAAATACAAGATAAAAATTTTAAATATTTGAGCAAATGGAATAAAAACTAAGTAAAAATAATTTGCTGTCTTCTTGCATATTTAATCTTTTTTCTTCTTGCATATTTAAAACTATTATTCATGTATTGTTTTCCTATTCCAGATTTTCAAGAACCATATGCTGTGGTGGTTCTTCTAGAAAAGGATTTAGTACTTATAGACCTTGCACAAAATGGGTAAGAAATAAAATTTGACAAGCAATTATTTTAGTATGTGATGAAAAAAAGATTTTTCTAGCATTCATTTTTTTTGAAGACACTACATTTATATCTATAACCTGGGCCTTTTTTTACAACTCCAGATGCTCATTTCTACCTGCAAAATTTCTCTGGTATGGTGATCATACAGAGTTCATTTTTAAGTCAAAGTTTGTTGGATTTCTGAAATTTCATATGATTCAGTCTAATAATTGGATACCCTGGGGACATGTAGAATCACCATGTCCAAAGTTGATTTCCTCTCACAGTTTACCTCTGGATAAGCTCTTGTATTTCCCCAGCCGTATTCACTCCCTGTTGCAGTCTGTTGAATGCCATGGTCAGAATAATTTTACATGCTGCACCAGTCTTGTTACTCTCCTCTTTAACTGTGGTTTCCTATTGCTTTTTCATTTAAAAACATCTCAGCCTGCTTGTTACTGTACACAGTTGGAATTCAGGGTACCTCTCCAACTGATTTCCACTGTCTTCTTGCAGGTGCCGTATTCCCTAGAAAACCGAGCTGGGTATTAAACAAATAATCACTCTTCCATCCCTTTTCTTACATAGCTTCCAGCAGCTGAAACACTCCATTTGCCACAAAAATCCATAGAACTTTCAAAGTTAGCCATATTTTTCTCTAATTTTTTTTCTGTTCTCTCTTAACTAGACATACCATATCTAATCTGTAATTCCCACTATAACTCCTTTGCAACTTTTTTGGTATTTGCCACATTCTGCTTTTTCTAACATAGATGATACTATGTTTAGTTCTAAGTTCTTTGAATAGAAGAACATTGTACTATCTATTTGTATTTCTTGAGAAATAATCATTAAATATGTTTTTCATCGAGTTTACCCATTCAGTATTTCAGTATTTCTCAATTGGGGGCAATTTTGTCCTACAGGAGATACTTATATTTGGCAATCTGTGGACACTTTTATTGAGTGGAGGTAGGTAGTACTGCCATCTAGTGGTAGAGAACAGAAATGCTGCCAAACATCCATAATACATAGGATAGACCCTCACAGAGAATTGTCTGATCCAAAATGTGAATAGTACTGAGACTGGGAAACCCTGAAGTATAAGTGAAGTGTATTATTTCTCTAATTTTAAGGCATTCCTAAATTCACATCAACTTAGTTACCTGCTGCCTATAATAATAAATTGTTTTGTTTTTTTGGAAAGTAACAATATTATTGAGAATAAAGGAATTTAAAACATTATTTTCTAAATGACAGTCTAAGATAACTTATTCTTAATATAATTTTTTTTACTTATATAAGTTTTTAAATAGTGTGATTTTCACATGTGGTCTGTACTGGGATATATTTGTTACAGAAAATATTGTACAAGCAACCTGTGAGTAGGCATTTTAATTTAGCAAGTGTATTGGAGCAGTAGTAGTAGAATTACTGAGCTAAGGATTTAAGTGTTTTTATAAAGAGATAAAAATTGCTTGCCATCTCTTAATGCATCTGTTGGTTTGAGTTTTGTCTTCTGTTTTTTTAATGTGGTTGAGAAAGGAATGATGACAGTTGAGTTCATTTTGAAGTCTCAAAACGGCTTTTCAGATATTTTTTCCTCTTTTTAATTATTGTCAGTAGTAGTCTGATCAATACATCTAACTTTTGCAGATTAACCAAGTCTGAACTTGCTAGACTTTTTTTTAGCTGGTTTGTGGTTTTCTAGATGATTTTAAGTAACCATTCTCATTTCCCAGGGCTTTAAAATCAGGAAAGAAATATCATTGCATTTTAGTTATGATTTTACTTTAATTTTATGATTTTTGAAAGCATTTCTTGCTTTAATATAATTTTATAAATAGAAAACATTTAAGGTAGAATTTTATTTATGTTATCAATAAAACATGAGAGCATTTCTAAATCAAACACTGCACTACCCATTATACTGATAGAATTTGTATTAGTTCTACTGATACAAGAATGAGGTGTCTGTTAATTGAGAATCTTACGGCTTAATGGTTAAGAGCACAGTTTAAATTCTGCTTCTTTTTGCTGATTGGCATGCCTTTGGCCCATTACCCTAAGTCTTTATTCTTCAGTCAAATGCCTACCTCATAAGTTAGGTCCAAGAACAAATGAGATAACTGTATGTAAGTCACTTATTTCTGTGTGTGGTGTATGTATGATATGTAGTTCCAACTGCAGCTTTTCTGTTTACTGTTCTAATTGAGCAACTGTCATTATAAAAGATGTAATTTTTTACATATATGCATATGTTGAATCTATTAAATCTGTTAGATGTATGTAATTTCTAAAGTTTTATGGAAAACATACTATACTAAGTTAAAATATAAATTTAGATAATATGTGGACCTTCAAAGGATGTTAATTTTTAATTAAACTAAAACTTTTTACATTCCAAAGCTATAAATTATTAAGTTTTCATTGTATTAATTATAGGTAATTTCTTAAATTAATGAATATCTTTCTTTTCTTGTTGTTAAAGATATCCTATATTTGAAAATCCCTACCCTTTGAGTATACATGAATCCCCTGTTACCTGTTGCGAGTATTTTGCTGATTGTCCTGTGGACCTTATTCCTGCACTTTATTCTGTTGGAGCGAGACAGAAACGTCAAGGTTACAGCAAAAAGGTATTGAACATGAGTTTTAATACTTAATGTTGCATTAATACATGAGCATTTTATATCTGTCACCTTGAAGTGCTTGATAACATGAATCCTTTCCTAGAAGAACTATATGGAAAATCCTTTTTGGAAACAAAGTATGTTGTTTACTGTTGCCATAGCTATATATGAAAATGGGTGGTTTGCTTGGAAATTGCTTTATACAATAATCTTTTCTTTTAGGAATGGCCCATCAATGGAGGTAATTGGGGTTTGGGTGCTCAAAGTTACCCAGAAATAATTATTACAGGGTAAGTAAAAGTCTATTTGACTAAGTAAATAATAGCTAAATATAATTAAGACTACATGAGCATTACTTAATTGGACAGATAGTGCTTTCCTTTATGCTGAAACATAATAAGAAACAAATTATTGTCTATAAACTGAAATTTACCCTAAATTTTATCTTTTTCCTCATTTTGGTGACTGTCCCTTTAAATAACAGTGCACTTCTAAGAAACTAAAAATGCAGACTTTTCTTTTTTTATAAGATTCTTAATTCATTTGCTTTTCATAGGCATGCTGATGGGTCCGTTAAGTTCTGGGATGCTTCTGCAAGTAAGTATTTTAAATATTATTGTTATATTACTGTTATATGTAATAGAATAATCGCTTTTATACAACCCATATTGTAATAATTGCATAACCAACATTTAATTTGAAACTTGGAAGCTATAAATTTAATACCTATTAATCAAATATGTGAATTTAGGATTTCTAATAGATTAAAGATACTCTTCATGCTATTAAATAGTAGTTTGCAATAGACGTACTCAAATCTTTTCTTCACAATTTCTTCAAACCTTCTCTTCCTAATTCAGAGATAGGAGAAGCAGGCATATATTTCAAATCAATGAAAATTTGTATTATAATTTGAATGCCTGATTCTAAACGTCTACCACAGAATTTGTGTTGTCTTTTTGAAATATTTAAGATGGTTATAATGACAAAAAGGGAAAAAATGCTTTGAATGGCTAATGTTTGCAAAATATACATAACAAACAATTAGAATCCAGTTAACTCAGGATATATTATGTTTCATCCTCTAGAAGTGTTAGTTAATATTGGTATCTTTTGTAGAGAAAATCATTTTAGGAAGCAAGATGTTCTTTATTATTTTTATTATTTTTTTTACAAGATTATTTTGTTACTCATTTTTTTCAGTTTATCTAAATTCATCATGATGGTGATTTTTTTTTTTAAATGACTACAATGAGTAATGAGTACACTTTTTTTTGGTCATTGAGTACAGTGACTGCATTATCTAAACATATAACAGAAATACAGACCTAGGAATAAAAATATGGTTCAAATATATATAGGCTATTTTCTTACATAGTGTAACTGATTAAATGTTACCTTGTATCTGTTCTTTTTGTATTATCTAATATATATCTTTTATCTAGTAACTCTTCAAGTATTGTATAAACTAAAAACAGCTAAAGTATTTGAAAAGTCAAGAAGTAAAGATGACAAGCCAAACACAGACATTGTAGATGAAGATCCGTATGCCATTCAGATCATCTCCTGGTGTCCAGAAAGTAGGATGCTATGCATAGCTGGAGTGTCGGCTCATGTCATTATTTATAGATTCAGCAAACAAGAAGTTATTACAGAAGTCATTCCGGTAATGTTCTTGTGGTTATTTCAATGTCAGATATCTGATGTTTAAAAATTATTGAATTATTTAGAAGATTATCTGCGGTTTTGTTTAGAATTTTTAAAAACACATCCGTATTTATATTACCATTTACCTTGTTTTGAAAAATAGCATATTTTGTGCATATCTTCTGAACATTTAAATCCTTAAATGCATTATGTTTCCTTTGAACAAAGCTAATCTCAGTATAAGCATACTCTAATTTGATATTAACAAATTGCCATAAATTCTAAAATGATAATGCATGTTTGTGTGTGTATGTACTTACATACATACACATCATTTTTAAAAAGCTGAGTCAGAAACATTTTTTTTTTTTTGTGGCTAAATCCTTATCTTTAGAAATCTTGCTAATTTTTACCTTTAAAAATGTTCTTTCCACTAAAATGTACATGCATGTATAAACTGTAATAAAATGAACCATATTTACCGGGAGTAAATGAGCTATCCTACTTTCCCAACAGATGCTTGAAGTTCGATTGTTATATGAGATAAACGACGTGGAATCCCCAGAGGGTGACCAGGCACCGCCTCTGCCAACACCAGTGGGGGGCGCCAACCCTCAGCCCATCCCTCCTCAGTCTCATCCTTCCACCAGTAGCAGCTCCTCTGATGGCCTTCGGGATAATGTTCCTTGTTTAAAGTAAGTTATTAAAAAATAGAGATGTCTTGAGAATGATCTTTTAATATAGATAAATTGTGTGCCTTAAGAAGCTATGGTGACATTTTCCTGTGATGGAGTAAAATGGCATAAGAACAGCTTTGTCTGTGCTTTGCTCTGATTGATCCAACTTATATTTCTGTGGCATCAGGAGGAATGTGATTGCGTTCCATGATTTTATCCTTCAAGTATGAAGATTTGGTCTTTAAACAGCGGACCAGCATGGATCTTTCCTCTGTATCTACAGCTCAATCTTCTAAACCACTAATGAGTTTTAGTCTGGATATATGTGTGGATGAAATACATGTTTAGACTGCTTTCAGCCATTTTGAAAATTCTACTTATTCAGTCTTTTGTGATTCTGTTGTTTTGTAATTAGTCACTGGTCGTTTTTTGAATCTTCTCTAGCACCACAGTATCATTATTTAAATGTATTGTAATATTCCAAATTTGAATACATTTTGCTTTATACAGGAATAAATTGGATAAAGTTTTCCTTTTTTCTATCCAATTTATATTATTTAATAGTTAAATTTATCTAAGGGCCTTAAATATGGCAGAAAAATAAAACAATGAGAAAAGTTAAAAATTAATGAACAGTTTTATGAAGAGTGTGATTAAAATGATTACATTTACAGAGAAGACAGTTAAGGTAATAACTGAAAAGTGGTTATGGAAAATGTCAAAAGAGATTCAATTTCAAGAGTGGGGGCAGGGGCAAAGCCAAACTGCAGAAGATTCAAGGTAGAGAGGGTGGTAAGAGAGAAATTTGCATTTGTTAAAGAACCCCCGCTTTGTACTGCTTTGCTTTAGATCTGCTAGAATCTCTTCTGTTGGTGAATAATAGTTCAGCAGTTGCTGTGGAGAATGTCCATGTAATCAAAAATGCATTCACTCCAAAAATAAGTACAACTTTAAAAGTCCTTATATGTTTACATAAATTTGAAATTGTATACTCTATGCCAGTAGTTCCCAAATGGGGAGGGTTTTGCTCCTCAGGAGGCGTTTGGCAGTATCGGGAGATATTATTAGTTGTCACACCAGGGGAAGCAGGGGTGCTACTGGCATCTAGGGCATGGAGGCAAGGACGAAGCTAAACACCTGCAGTGCCCGCGGCCTTGTGTCTTAAGATGGACAGCTGGGCTGAAGAGTGGGTATTTCCCTGGGAAAAATCAGACCTTCTGCCTCAGCCAGTGTACGAACAGCTCTGAGGGTATTGCCTTGCGGACCTTGCGCAGGCAGAAGTGACGGGAACTCAATACTAGGAGTAGTTTAGTGATACATGTTTATCCTGAAATTTGGACAATGTTTTGATCCTTTTCTTATCCGGAGTGAGTCTAGCAGATGCAACAGCAAAGGGTCAGGTGTCATGGTCTTCTTCACTAGAAATATCAACTAAATGACTCAAAAAGGTTCTTACCTGTGAGTTTGGTGTCAGGAGATACAACTTTGAGTAGTGTTGCTGCTGTTCTTTTATATGTTGTCACTCCAAGGCAGAATCCTTAAAATTGCTGCATATATTTTACAAGAGCAGTTATTGAAGAATCTGAGCAATAAAAAATGTTCTCACCTCGGGGATTAAGAAGTACAAATAGGTAGTTACAGAATAGCCATGGGGATGTAAAGCATAGCATAGGAAGTGGAGTAGCCAAAGAACTTACACACATGACCCATGAACTTGAACAAGGCATGGGGATGGCCTGAGGGAGTGGGGGATGCTGGGTGGAGGGGGGCAAAGGGGAAAAATCAGGACAACTGTAATAGCATAATCAATAAAGTATAATTAATAAAGACCTAAAAAAATGTTCTGACCTTAAATTAAGGTATATACTTTTTTACAAAAAGTCACACAAAAATAAATTGCCCATGTTTGTTTGTTTTCTCATTCTTTAACTTATGTTTTTGGCCAGTTTTCATTTAGTTAAACCATATTTTTAAGCTTTAAGTCTGCTTTTGTAACTTGCATTTCTTCCTTTGTAAAGCCTGGGCAGTGCTTCTCATTCTTCTCCCCAGCCCTCCCTGTCTTCCCTGTCCTTCCTTCTTCCTTCCCTGCCCTTTCTACCCACTCCTCCCTTGTCCTCTTCCCTCCGCTCTGTATGTGAAACTTACTAATGATTTCTTATTTCTTTTTACTCATTTACGTGTTTGATGTCTGGATTAAATGCTTCTAGGGGAGAGGATTCTGATTTTTACTTTTTAAAATATCCAGTACAATTTCATATACAAAGTTATTTTTGTGTAGTTACTTTTGCATGATTCTGTAATTACATAGGCTAGTAAGATATAAAAAGGTAATGTGTTTTCCTTTATTACAGAGTTAAAAATTCACCACTTAAACAGTCTCCAGGTTATCAGACAGAACTTGTTATTCAGTTGGTATGGGTAGGTGGAGAACCACCACAACAAATAACCAGTTTGGCAGTCAACTCTTCTTATGGACTGTAAGTATAACTTATGTGTTTCTCCTCTCTTCACATTATTTCATACATTTCTTATTTTTGAAAATAGAAATGATGATCTTTATAGTATCACTTAAAAAGTTGCATAACTTTACTTTCAGATGTAATTCTGTTCTGGATAGTTTTTCTGTGCATGGTTACTTTGCTTCCCAATATTAAGTAGGATAACTCACAGACCAGTGAATTATTTGAGGTAAAGGTTTAAAGTTACTATATCGTCTCCTAAATATACTTTCAGAAATAATTTCCTATTTTTAATAGGTATAATGGACATCTAACAATGTCAACCCAGAATACTGTGCACTAAGCTGATTCTGTAAATGGTCTACCATAGCTATGTAATTTATTCTTTCTACTTCTAAAGTTTAACTTGTATAGATTGTACAAGCATAGCAATAATTTAAGAAAGTACTCATCTGTAGTACAGGTGTACTTACTAATTCATGCCTCCAAATATATAGTAGTAATTACACGTACTTTTTTAAATAACGTTTATGTTTGTTTTAAAGTCAGCATTGCGGTATAAGAGAAACCACATGCTACCTGTTCAGTCCCAGAGCTGTTTTTCATGTGCGGGTCGCTGCCTCCTTCCTCGATCCAGCCTAGGGACTCGCTCTTCCTCTTCTTCCTCCTCTAGTTGTCACCACCTACTCTGTTTCTGCAGTTGTGCACCGGACTAAGACCAGCTGTGGTCTGAGATAGTTTTCTTTCATGTCTTTTATTTGCCATCCCACAATGTCAGGACACAGACATTTTCATATTTTACTGCCCACAGCCATAAAGGAAACAAACAGGGAATAAGAAAAAGAAAACAGAAGTTTCAAAGGAAATTGCTAATCAGTTGATCACAGGCCTCATTTGGCTCACAACTGAATTTTGTTTAGCCCTTTTTGTGCATTTTTAAAATTTGAACTAGTTGCCAAGATTATTTGATGTAAAAATCCATATTTTGAGTTTCCACTTAAAAAATCTGATTATTTGAACCATGTCTCTCCATTCTTGCTTGGCAAAAGTCAGCAGGAACCGAGTTGAAGGTTTTCCTCTTCAGATGTGTCATACATTATCCAGTTCACCACTGTCCTTACCTGCCTTTTTTATTTACTTACATAGCCCCTCTATACATTTCAACTTTCTACTCCTTGCTTAAGGGATCTTAAAGGAATAAAATCCATTCATCCTTGATTGCCAAAGCTTTTTGGAAGATACAGTCCCCTGCTTCCCCAATGGAAGGGAATATCTTCCCCTGAGAGGCTCAAAAAAAGATGTCACATTGCTTAGCCTGGGGCTTTATGTTTCTGATCAAGTTGCAACTCCTATGTCAGATTTTTTTAATGATACTGATTGTAATCGTTAATGTCTGCAAAAAATCTACACAGTTCCATGAGAAGCCATGTGTAATCTGTATTTTTATGTCTGTGATAGTTTTTTTTGTTTAAAGAGGAATTTTCTCTAAGACCTATCATGCTTCTTTTTTAGTCTGTTATAGACTACATTTTCTTGTAATTATTATTCGTGCTAAACTATATTCTCTTTTCCTGTTCCAGGGTAGTTTTTGGCAATTGTAATGGCATTGCGATGGTTGACTACCTCCAGAAAGCAGTACTCCTCAACCTGGGCACTATTGAATTATATGGCTCCAATGATCCTTATCGGAGAGAACCCCGGTCTCCTCGTAAATCTCGACAACCTTCTGGAGGTAAAAAGAAAAAACTCCTGAGTTTTAAGGTTTTTATAAATGCTGAGTTACTTCTGTGAATATAAGTATTTCAGTTAGGTAAATAGTTTGTGTGATTTAGTCTGTAACACATAGACTGTCAAAAACTAATAGAAAGTTTGAGCCTATTTTTTTGTTTTGTATTATTACTAGATTTTGCTTTTGTTTTTAGTATTCTAGGATTCTATTTAACATTGGAAAAGAACCACAAAATCAAATTTCTTTAGCTAAATTATGACGACAGAATAATTTGCCTCATTCTAGAACAAATGTTTACTTCAAAGTTTTGTCTCTCTTATTTGGTATTATGGGGCCACAATCAATTTTTCTACAATTTAATTTAAAAAGAGTAATTTTCCATGTGTAAAAGTAGGTGCAGAAGTGAATTTCAGTTCTATGAAAATAAAATGTTTTCAGATAGCCTGATTCAATGCAAACCCTGATCCATTCTCTTCATAAGTATTCTTTTGTTTTTGCTAAGTAATTAGTCTTAATTTTTAAATGTTATAATACTATACCTTATGGAACACATGTATAGTTAGCTGTCTATACCAGTACTCACCTTTTTTCCCCCCATAACCTCCTGGCTCACACAGGAAATTGCATTGGCTCTCTGGCGCATAGGGGTATAATAACGAGGCCTCCAGCAGTCCCAGGCCTGTAGGCTCCCGTCGCCCCGGGGATTGAGGGGAACCCTGCCTTGGGCCGCGGTAACCCACTTGCAGAGCGCCAGTGTGCAGTGGGACACCAGGACGCTCCGGTCTGTGCTTGTTAACTCATCCCCCTGAATAAAATCCTCTGAGAGGCATTTCTCAGTTGCTCGCAGGGCATCATTGCCTAACACTACCTGTGTCCCAGTTCATGAGAGAGGAAAGAGGTAGTGACATATAGACCTTACTGTCTTGTTGATTGAAATTTTTTCCGCATTTCTGTTTGTATGTGTAATCATTTTGTCATTTGTTGTCTTCAGCAGAAACTGTCTCAGCCATACCATTCTAGTCTCTCTGTCTCCTTTTTTTCCTTCCACTTTTCATTGCTTCACTGAGGTATGCTGACTGTGGCTTCTTGCATGCGCAATCTTAGTTGCTTATATTCTGAATCTGTGAAAAAACTCCGTTCTCCTTTTTTAAGTAAGTTATTTATTCCATGTCAGTAAAATCATGGCATGTTTGCTTTTGTTTGTAAAATCATTTTTTTCTCATTTATTTTTTAAAAGCTTATTAGAATACTGTCTCTACAATAATATACTCATTACTTAAATTCACCTCAAAATATGTATAGGAACACAGCTATTGAAATGTTTGTATCCCAACCCAGTTTCTTTATAAAGTAAAAAAATTAATATGTAGTGTTAGAAAGTTAGAGTGTTGTCATGATAGAAAAGAAGTTTTTTGTGGGCAACAATTACTTTTAACAATTGTGTCACAAACCTTGTAAAATTTTTTTAGTCCTAAAATTAATTTCATTTCTCCTTGATACCTCATTGTAGTTTATATAAAATTGCTAGAAACTAAATACCTAAGTTTATCCAAGGATAAAGACCAATTTTGCAATGCAATTTTAAAAATATTTTTTCTTAAATTTCACAGCCTTCTACTTTACTGTGTACAAAACCCCATATTATTCATATTATTATTTGATTCATTTTGAATTGAAGAGTTAGTCCTCCTGTACCTAAACATCTGAGTGTTTCTTGATCAGTTTAAGATATTTACATATTGTTACTATGCTCACTTTAATAATATTTAGGAATGTAGTTTAAATTAAAAGAGTTATTTTAAAATATGCCTTAACATTAAGAATATTTTTGTCTTAATTTGAAAATATAATTACTTATATTTCAAATAAAATTAAATATAGAGTAATTGGTACTAAAAATTGTTTTTAAATGAAGTGTATGTGTCATTTTATTTTATTTTTTAAGATTTTATTTATTTAGAGAGAGGGGCAGGGAAGGAGCAAGAGAGGGAGAGGAACACTAATATGTGAGAGATACATAGGTAGGTTGCCTCTCACACACCTCCACCTGGGGACCTGGCCCACAACCCAGGCATGTGCCCTGACTGGGAATCAAACTAGTGACCCTTCAGTTCACAGGCTGGCGCTCAATCCACTGAGCCACACCAGCCAGCGCAGTACTAAAATTCTTTAACTGCATTGATGCAAAAATGATACTCTTATTAAAGTATATACTTTATAATATATTCTTGAAGTATAGCTCAAATACCGTCAAACTGTTCTTTTTAATAGATCAGCTTGAATAGAGAAATTTTTGTTACCAATAGGTGATTATATATTTTTGGAAAGAATAAGATGTCACTTGTGAAATTATTCTATGAGATAAAACATTACTGTTTAAGTTTAAATGTGTTACAGCTCTATTAAAATACAGTTGAACTATTAACTAAAATAGTGTCTTCATAATAACATTTATGAAGCTGTCACAGGGATATGTAGTGATGAAGTGTTTCAACTACCTATGTATTTGCTAAAAGTCTTCATTCTCATATAAATGAGATGTGGTAATATATGTCTAGTTTTGCTGGCCATTTTTATACCCCACGAAGAATACAAAAGGAAAATTTTTGTTCTGAATATGATTCTAAACCCCAAATAAGATCTTACTAGTGATGTGAAAGTGATAGACACATAAGAAATGTGCTTACTTAGTCTTGGAAGTTGATAATTATAAAGAAGGTAATTAGCTGGCTTTATCTAACTCTATCAGACTTTAGGAAAGATATTTTCAAAAGTTATGGAGAGGTGGCTCTAAATATGAAGTTTCGGCTATACAATTGCAAGTGCTTTCAAGTGGAGTAAATATTGTCAATAAGATAGAAAAAGAGAAGTAGCTATGGAGCCCAGTAGTACCAGTTGAAATATTTGTGTGTGTTATGTGTATTATATGAAAAAATAATACTGTATAAGAAATAATTGATACTATCAAGGATGGCTAAAAGTTTTGTATAGATGATTAAGTACTGTATTGAATTAAGGCTGATTTCCAAAAAATGTGAAATATAGCAAAATGTTTGTTTACAGTGGGAATATACTTAAGGAAGGATTAGGACCCCATTTTAAAGTTATTTGAAATCATAGTTAAAAAAACAATATAGAAGTAAATAACTTTGTTTCTCAAGTCTCCATTAATAAGAATTATTTTTCTCTCTGAAAAGTATAAAAGGTAATAAAGAGAAATTAAAGTGTATGCTAAATTATATAAGGCAGTTCAAGCAATAATAAAGCGATGTCAAGAAAATTTGTGAAGGGAATTTGTATAGTGTTCCCAATTTAATGAAAGTGAAATGTTTTATAAATCAGCAAATTTGATATACAAATCATTCAGAATTCTAGAATGATTTGCCAAGTATCTGATGCCTTGTGTACATATTGAAAATAGAGATATCAATAGAAGTTAGCAGTAATTTACTAAAAGTAAGTTGTACCAAAATTAATGTTACTTTTTTAATCTTTTAATTACAGGGTTGGCTCATGGCAGCCTGTTGACATATTTCTTCAAGTTAATCAGTATTTGATAAAGAATTTTGTGACTCCTTTATGACCTAGACAGGTAGAAGTGACCTAAATACCTAGTTTAGTTTGATGATTGCCGGGTTGATTAGAGTAAAAGTCAGCAAACTACTGTCTGTGGGTCAAATCTGGCTCACTGCCCATTTTTGCAAATAAGTTTTATGAGGGCAGCACCATGCTTATTTGCTTACGTTTTATCTATGGCTTCTTTTGTGCTACAATATTAGAGGTGAGCAGTTGTGACAGTGGCTCCAAAAAACCAGTCTGGACCTTCACAGAAAACTTTTGCCAATCCCTGGATTAAACCATAGGATCGACTGGGTCAACTTATAACCTGATACTTACTTTGACCTAGTGGGCCTCAGTTAGTGAATGTAGTATGTGCAATAACATATGGCTGTGTCTTGTTGAACATTTTAAACAGTAAATTAAGCCTCCTATTTAAACATTTGAAAAGGAAGGTGTATCTTTCTGATAATGACAGTCAAGTTTACTGTCTCTAGAAGTAATTACATGCTTGTCATTGTGTAAAATACCAAAAATACTCAGTGCCTCAGTTTATTTTGTAAAATGAGGATAAAACTGTCCACCTTATTGGCTGCAGTGGGGGTTAAATGAGTCAAGCACTGAGAACCATATTTGGCACATAATAAGCACTTAGTAAATGTTGGTTATTATGAGTTAGCTAATTGGGTTGGGATACATTGGGCAAAGTGTAGATAACTATACTGCTAGGAATATTTGTTGAAGGCAGTCTGTCAGTAACAGAGAGATGGATTAGATTATAAGCTACAAAATTCTTTCACATGTATTCATTCAGTAATTCAACACATTTACCAGGAACTGACCATGTGCTCTGCACTATTATGGGTAATAAAACAGACAAGAATCTGTCCTCGTGGAACTCATTACACTGGAAAAGACAGACAATTAAAAATATAAGTAATATGTAGTAAGTTGCATAATAGTGCTAAAAGGAAAAATAATTAAATTCGGACAGATTTGAAATATCAGTGACATGGGTGTTGAATTTTAAATAGAGGTTCCAGGTGACTTTTGAGTAAAGATTTAAAAGAAGTGAGAGAGCTATTATCCATGAAGTTGCCTGTGGAAAGGACATTTCAAGCAGAGAGGAGCAAGTACATTGGCTCTGAAGCAGTATTCCTGGTGAGTTCAAGGTACAATGGGGAGTAACTAGAGTAGAGAGAGTGAGAGGTGGGGAAGTAGGTGAAAGGAGAGGAAATAAAGTCAGAGAGGCATACTGTAGGTAGTCATATGCTGTATTCCACAGTCCTGTATCATAGGATTGTATACATCAACCAGCCATAGAGGATTCAACTTTAACTTTTCCTGAGTCAGAAGCCATTGCACAGGTTTCAGCTTATTCAGTAATTTATTATCTAAAAATTAAAGAGTCTCTATCACATTCTGTAATTTACCTTCTTACATGTTTCTTCCTAGAGAAGAAATGGCAACTTTATCATTTTTAAGAATGGGAATTATATCTCAGTATATTTTTATAGTGTGTAATAGCAATTTACAAAATAGAAAAGGCTTAGATTTTCAAAACCGATTAATTTTTCAGTACCAATTTACCAGGCCCACTGTAATATTAGAGAATATTATCACTACTACGGTATTTATTTTTTTGTTGAGGTATAATTGGCATATGACACTGTTAGTTTCAGGTGTACAACATAATGATTCGATATTTGTATACATTGCGAAATGATGACCACTGTGAGTCTAGTTAACATCATTCATCTTATAGTTACAAAATCTTTTTTCTTACGAGTTTTTAAGATTTACTCTCTGAGCAACTTTCAAATATGCAAGACAGTATTATTAAGTATAGCCATCCTGCCGTACAATACATCTCCATGACATATTTTATAAATGGAAGTTTGTACCTTTTGACCCCGTTCACCCATTTGTCACATCCCCATATCCCCTCACCTCTGGTGACTGCCACTCTATTTTTGCTATCTGTGAGCTTGTTCTTTTTTTGTTTTGTTTTAGTTTTAGTTTTTTTGAGGCTTACATTTAGGTTTAGTTTTGTGTGTGTGTGTGTAGTTTACGTTTTTTTTAGGTCTAAGTGAGATCATAAGGTATTTTGTTTTGCTTACCTTCTTTCATTTAGCACCATGCCCTCAAGGTCCATCCGTGCAGTTGCAAATGGCAAGATTTCATTCCTTTCTGTGATATTTCACTTGTGTGTGTGTGTATGTGTATGTACACACCACATTTTCTTCATCCATGCATCCATTAACGGATGCTTACGTTGTTTAGGTTATTATCATATATCACTACCATTTAAAGACCTATCATTTATATAAACAAATATTTTGTCATGGGTTAAATGCATACCTGTAATTGCATCTATCATTTTAGAACCATAAAAACTAGCTTCTTTTTACAGAAAGACTAATTTGATGAATGTTGAAAAGGAAGCTGTCATTCAAAAAGCTTCTACCCACTGAAGACAAATGGTATATAGTTCAAAATAGAAAACACTTCTTATAAACCCAATTCAGTACTCAGTGTTCTCTTGAAAATACTACTGTAAGAGCTTTCTTGGTGACTGTAGATATTGTGACATCATATCTTTCAACAAATGAATGGGAAAGCAGATAAGCAGATAAAGGTTATATATGCATATATGTCTGTGTCAGTGATTTTCAACTGGTGTGCTGCAAGAATTTTTAAAATGTATAATAACTGACTATTTAGTCAGGGGCACTGACTTACTCCCTTAGATTCACATTAAAAAAATGAAAACCGTCAACAATAGCCATCCAGTGTGAATGAATCAAAATTATACCTATTTTTTGTCAGATCAGCAAAAAATACGTTTTTTGGTGTGCCACCAAATTTTAGTAATTAGTTTATATGTGCCATGAGATGCAAAAGGTTGAAAATTGCTGGTGTATGTGATACCTGGCTTTTTCAGAAGCCCAGATGTGTGGCCACTTGTCTGTTGCCCAAATGCCGAACTTTTGATGTGTTTTTTGTCAATTTTTAAAGAATTTGCAAGGATTATGTTTAAATCACGAAGCAAACTAATATTCATACTAATTGTTTACATTTGTCATGTCTTTTAAATTCTTGTCTACAGCATAAACCATCTTGCTGTGTTTTCTTCTATGAATTTAGGTTATATTATGAGATAGATTAGTTTTATATAGGTCATAAAAATGTGTAGAAAGATTTATGTAGAACTTTAAAAAAATGTGATTGGATAGTTTTTAAGAGGTATGGCCTTGCAAGATAAGCATGCACAATATTTTAAAGTTGCAGATTTTGAGGTACAAAATATTTTTTATATTATTATTACAGATTTGGAGGTACACAATATTTTTCATATTATTATTGAAAAATATTGAAGGGAGGTGTTTGAGACATACATAGGGGAAATCACATTGAGTTGAGGGCCCCAGTGATGTAACAATGACCAAACTTACTGCCAGTTATTTATTCCCCCTCAAGAGAAATCAAGTAATACTGGTATCATGTGCCCCTCAAATTACTGATTTTAAACAAAGTTTTACATTATATTTGGTGTTCCTTGAAGAAAAGCAAATTATCTCTTGAAAATTCTGTTTTTTAATTGATGACTGTCATATTAGTTTGAGGTGTTTTTAGCAATTTTTTTTATGCTCCTATCTCAAAACTAAGCGGCATAGTATCAATGCTAAGTGTCCTTTAATCTTCTAGATTTTTTAATATACTGTTATTACAGGTGTACTACAAAGAGGAGATAAAACTGTTTATATAAATTCATGGTGTGATTTGGTTTTTGGTTTTGTTTTTTTAGCAGGTCTGTGTGATATTAGTGAAGGGACTGTAGTCCCAGAGGACCGCTGCAAATCTCCAACTTCCGGTAATTTGTTTTTTATTTCATTAATAAGTATAGTTCTACAAAAACCAACATAACGTATCAGCATTCCTTTTTTATAGATAAGCATTTAAAATGCACCTACAAGGAACTTCACTGTCACATATTTATTCTTAAAGTCATAACTGTATTTTGTGCTTTCTCATTTAGTAGGGAAAAAAAATGCCCGAGATAAAAATCTATACCTATTACCTGTCAAGAGTCATATAACTATTTACTTAGGTTTATAATAGTTATACCTTTTTAGGGAATATATATTTTACTTGTTACCATTAGATCAAATGGTTTAGTTATATACAGCCTTGTCTTTGCTCTAGGCATGCCTGTCATCACTTGGTAGAATGGTATTCTAATCCTTGAATAATTCTATTTAAATATGGAAGATTTGTAACATTTGTACTCTAATGGTGACTATACAATTAGAATAATTGTGGACTATTTATATTTGTTCTTGTTTTGTGATCAAAGTAATACCTAGTATAATTTTATAGCTATGTTAAAGCAGTTTTCCTTCCTTATTTATATATTGGTCTTTATGTAACCTGTTTATCTATATATTAATATTTTAGAGGAACTTTTTGTAGCTTTTGAGTCTCCATAGGCTTAAATGGATCCTGAATTTATTATGTTTTCAGTGGATTGAAACTTTGCTAATCTTTAATAAAGGTGACTTCATAATTTTAATTACCACATTTATTAAATCATTCTGACTGGGGATTTTCATCGACTTTCTACTGGAAAAATTGTTCTTAGCATAAGGTAACATTGTTCTTAGATTATGATCCTTAGCTGGTTCTACTACATCAGAAAGAATTTTAAGAATCCGACATATTGAGAAGTGCATTCTACTTTATTCCCTAATATTTTAGTTTAGCATTTTATTAGATAAAGGACTGTAAAAGCTTTTGTGATATTTTCTTTTTAAAGTTACATTTTCCTGATATTGCACAAGTTAACCATTTCTTAAAATATATCCACCCTCTGGTCTCCTTAATCTTTAAATTTCATGTTTAAAGTCACACATCAAACTAATAAAACATTGAGCTATACAAATCACTCACATAATTAGCACCTAATATTAAGTCTGAGCATTGATAGAATAAAGTCTGAATGAATAATATGGAGCAAGTAACTGTATTTCCCATCTTACAGGACCAGTGTTATTTATGAATTTGGAATTTAGAATTACAATATTTTTAAATTCTGGCTGCTCTTCCTTCAGTTACATACAGTACTGTTCTGTTCTTTTCACCTTCCCTAAAGGCCATGTGAATGCACTTGTCATTATAAGGCTATAAGCACATCGGGTAATTTGGACATGAAACATTATTTTTTCATATATTAAATGACCATCAAGAGTATTTTCACCAGATTGAGGCCAAATAAATTAATACTCTGTTTTGTCTTAAGCTAAACTTTCAACAGGTGTGTGTATATCTAGCAATTTGAAATAACCCAGCAAAAGGTAATTGTAGATAAGTATATAAGTATATTTAAATCTAAGTACATAAATAAAAAAAACTGCATAAGATAAAAGCTCTCCAAATTCTCTCTTTTTCATACCAGAAAAATCTAAACATTGTTCAACATTTTTAAATATATTGTACTCTTTGGTCCATATGAAAAGACAGTGTAGTTTTATCATGGAGAAATTTTTATGACCTCAAATATCATTGATAAGTCACAAATTCTTACCTGTATATATAAAACTACTTTAGTTCTTGGTTATGTTCTGAAAGATAAAAGCATTCTCTGAAAAGTTATATCTATTCCTGCATATCAGGAAAGGCTCCTCTTACAAAAAACAAATTAGACTTTAGAGACAGTAGTTGTACCTGAAACATGTTTCATATAGCAAGAGACAGATGTCAGTCATACATAACTCCTAAGACATTCAGGAGGAACTAGAATAAAATTCTGGAAAGCTACCCCTTTGACACCACATTGTTACAGCTCATGTCTTTCACTGCTTGTCTGTTTTTAAATAGTTAACAGTAGTTTTTGCTACCTATCATGGGCCAGTTGTCTTATTATTTGTACATTTATAACTTTTTAACTTTGTTTCTATTAGCATTCTAATATAGAAATAAAAGAATAATTTATTATTATTACTCTCACCAATCCATGTAACTTCTACTAATTTAGGATAGTCAAAAAGAAAACTGGATGGGGTGAATTTGAGGTGAATGTGAAGAACCACAAGGGATCATGTTATTAAAACCATAGAAAGCAGTAATTAAATTACAAACCTCAAATACGTTCTACAGTGCAGTGGGAAATAAATAAGGCAAATAAATAGTTAAATGGTACATTATAGGTTATTAATGCTAGTATGACTAATAAAAAACTGTTGGTATTATTGAGAAGAGGAAATGTGTAACAGTGGGTCAGATGTTGAAGAGAGTTCCTCATAAATGCTAAGAGAACGAGTAGTTTAGAAATGAATATGCCCTTTATCAAAACCAGTGTATTTACTCAAACTAATACATGTAAAGGAAGAGAAACTTTTTTGAAAAGGTTTTAAATCTCATAATGAAGATGTGTGATCTCAACAGTTTGTATTAAAGTTCTATTCAAAAATAGTTTGCCTTTTCCATTATTTTTAAATAAATCTCTCTCTCAGAAATACAAAGTTAGTTCTGCCATCCTGAATTAATGTAGAAAATTGTTCCTTTCATCTCTATTTGATCTTTATTTTTTTAAAACTCACATTTCTTCACTGAGCACTTTAGAAATGTCAGAAATTTTTTTTTAGCACTGCATTCAAAATGTGGGTGTGCATGTGTGTGTGTTTATTCTAAAATGATGAAAACATTTGTTAGGTTATTTCAAATTGAAAAAGCTACACATACCATATAAATGGTGCCTTCAGGAGTTGCTGTGTACCCTGGAAAAAACAAAAAGCTGTAGATATTCCCTATGTTGATTTAATCAGCAATTTAGTAAATATATTCAAGTAAGACATGCTGAAAACATTTTTAATCCTCAACCGAGGATATGTTTTATTGATTTTAGAGAGAGGAAAAGGGAGAGAGAGAAACACTGATATGAGAGAGAAACAATGATCAGTTACCTCCTGTAGTTACCCTGACAGAGAATCAAACCGGAAACCTAGATAAGTGCTCAGACTGGTCATGGAAACGCACGGCCTTTTGGTATATGGGACAGTGCTCCATAGTAACTGAGTCACCCACCCAGGGCTGAAAATGTTTTTGGAACTTTTTCATGAGCTGTCACATAATTATGATAAGCAGTGGTAGACATTTTCAGTTGGGGGAAAATCTATAAATATGCTTTTTAAATTTACAGTTATGGCTTATGTTGCTTATTTTAGGTTGAAAATACTAAACGTTTATAATATCATACTTACGTTTAGATAAGTTATCTTGCTACTGCTCTACTTTCAAATATATGAAATGAAACAGGTATTAATAAATTCTGTACATGCAGGTGGCTATATTTAGTATCAAAGGGATATTTAGTATCAAAGTGGTATTTTAAAATATATAGCATCTTATCATAACCATTATCTTATTTAAATGCGAGTTATATGTATATGAAAAACAAGTATACTATTTCCATTCCTGAAAATGTTATTGAGCTCAATGTTACTTATATGATTTTTTTATATAGCATTTATAGGGACCTATAAATGCTATTTAAGAAAAATTACTTGGTTTTTAAAGAGTAATCTTTTAAGACTATTATAAAGTAATTGGACCCTGCCAATGTTGGCAAGTTTTACTTGCTCTGTGAAGAGACACCTCAAGGAAATTTTCTACTGGCCGAAGAAAACAAGTACAATTTTGTGGTGCAAAGGGAGGTCGAATTTTGATGTTGTTAAGGTTCAGTGCTGTCACTGGGACAAAAAAGGAAAAGAAAAGAAACAGAAAACTTCTTTATTTATTGCCTGTTATGTTTGAGATATTTACTTGTAGTAGAAAAGGTTCATTCTTTGTGTGTGTGTGGTTTTATGTATTTATTTTTAGAGAGAGGGGAAGGGAGGGAGAAAGAGAGGGAGAGAACCATCATGTGTGGTTAGCTCTTACGCACGCCCTACTGGGGACATGGCCCACAACCCAGGCATGTGCCCTGACTGAGAATCGAACTAGTGACCTTTTGTTTGGCAGACTGGTGCTCAATCCATGGAGCCACACCAGACAGGAAGAAAAGCCTCATTCTTTTGGCAAATGTTTATTTAGTGATATCTGCAGGCACAGCATTGCACTGAGTGCAAAGGTAATGCAAAGATAAATCACTTGGTGGCCAGCTTTTCAGAAGTTCAGTCAGTGGGAAAGGTTAGATGTTTGTAACTTACAATAGAAGATATTAAGTTATTAACATCATAAGAGAAGTATACAGATAAGATAAAGTATTATGAGAATTCAGAGGAGAAGTGACTTATTTACAGATTTGAGATTGAAAAATTTAATGGAAGAGACACCCTTTTAATTGCGTTATAAAAAATAGTTTTATTCTAATGAAAGTCAACTAGACTACTACTTAAAATTGTATTTAGAAGTGTTAGAAATTAAATACTATGAAAAATTAGAAACCCCTTTTTAAAGAAAATCACAAATAAAATTATAATTATAAAAATAAAAGTCACAGATGGAATAAAATTTAATATTTCTTACCTTATAAATTTAAATAAATATTTGAATATAGCTAAAATTATAAGTATTAACCTCAGTATTTTAAAGGCCTCTAAGGTAATAGTAGAATTTGTATATTATTTTGGAGTTTGTATCTAGAAAGCTAACACTAAAATAAATTGTACCAGTATAGCACTTGCACAGGATTCTTAGTTCTACTAGATAAACCTTATTCAGTTAACTACTATCAAGAATTTTTACCTTTTTTTCAGAAACTGTTAACCTCTACTTATATTTTTCTTTATCTGTTCTCTAACGTACATGCCAATATTTTGCCCAGTGGTTGTAACTTATAAAAATACTGTAGTTTTGAGTTAATATTTATATATACATGGAATTCTTCTACCATGAAAGAGGATGCACTAATGACTGCCCTTCTTACTGTAATATTATAAGAATTCTTGTTAACTATGTTTACTTGTGGTCAGCAGTGTGGGAACTTGTAGAAGTTCTCAGATTATTTTGTTTATACTTTTCCCTGTGACAACTCAGTGTTTGTGACTGACCGTTTGCCTGTTCCATTATTTTCATTTGTGTAGGTTCTTCATCACCACATAATTCAGATGATGAGCAAAAAATGAATAACTTTATAGAAAAGGGTATAGTATCTTTATTTTAAAGTGTTTTTATTATGTTTAATTCATTTAGTTTATTACTTTGAATAGATTTTGACATTTTATATCAAAATATTATTTTCAGTGAAGACCAAAAGCAGAAAGTTTTCCAAGATGGTAGCCAGTGATATAGGTAGGAAATAGAACTTTCTATTTTGTTTCTAATCCTTGCTATATGCAATGCTAACTCAATACCAAGAAATTATCTAATGCATTGCATTTATATATATTAATTTGTTATTCCTATGCTAAACGATCTCTTGGGCTGTATTTCTTCTAAACTCATCGGGCAGTAATGATTAAAAATCAGTAAAATTGGGGTTGCAGTTTTTCCTCTGACTTACGGGGTGAATTGTTTTATTAATTTTTATTTTTGCTTTATGTTAAAATAAAACAGGGTTCAATTTATGCCATAAGTAGCACAATTTTATATTCCCATGTTTGAAATTTCTTTTTTCCTTTAGAGTTTTATTTATATTTCTTCTACCTTTATTTCATCTTCCTCCTGTTAGCAAGACCCTAAATTTCAAGGAAATGCTTCCCTGAAAGATTGACTCTTAGTCTGTAATCTGTACCATCCTTGAGTTAAATGGGAATTTTCTAGGATCGTCCTCTCCCCCTGCCAAATAAAAATGAGCAAAGGAGAATACTTTATATTAGTCCTTTTGCTTTTATGACTAGCTTTGAAATGAATTATTTGAAGGTTAACAAAGTCTAAAAATGGTGGGTGAAGTATGTAATTAAACTTTGGAAACATAATGAAAATAAGATATTTGGTCATAAAATTTGAATAGTCTCAAAATTTTTAAAGGCTTGAGAAACACCATATTTGAAAAAAGAAAAATTTAATCTTTGATTTAAATCCAAAATTTTCATTATACTGTTATTATTTATTTCCCCCCAAATTCCCACCACATATTTGAATTGTTTTAAATCGGATGAATTTCTAGACAGCTGGAATTGACTGACTTTGTCTCAACTGACAAAGTCTACTCTATAGTATAATTAAATTGTAAAAACTCGTAGAAGTATTAATAGTATCCCTATTGTCTGCATGTTGTAAATTGAACCCTGTTTAGTCATATTAATGTTGGCTGACTTGACACCTCTGGTCTCTTTTAAAATAAGGTGGTTTATTCTTGGGCAAGGGGCTCTTCATTTATGGAGAATCAATTATTTACCTCTTTTTATTTGTGGGTTTTTAGTGAATCAGTTGATAATAGTTAAATCACTTTAATTATGTACTAGCACTGTAGCATAACAGTTTCTCAACAAATTTCTTTATAGTATATTCTTATTGTAATACTTTAGAAGTTACTTTACTGTTATATAATATAAAAAGTTAGAAGGGACTTTCCTACATATAGTTTAGAACCTCCATAATTTAGTTATGTAGGAGTTCTACCTTTCATGAAAGCAACTTTGTACATAATTAAACTTTTGTAATAATTTCTCTTGTGTGATTTTTTGATCCTGGGGTTATATTTTCTTTGTTAAATATAATGACTACCTTTTATTTTTTCCTATATTTTGAATGGAATATGTAACATGAATATTTGAAAGACATCATTTAACAAATCTCTTAGGAATGAGAACATTATTGGAAGTATAATTCTTTAATAACAGTCTTTATGTTATTAGCAAGTTTTTTTTTGTTTTGTATTGTTTTTTTATCAAGCCAGTTTTTATAGTTTTATTTATTGGGAAACATGTTATCTTTATTCAACTTTTCAAACTTTGTTAGTTACACAGTTATACATAATTATTTTTTACCTTCAGAAACCACTGTTATGTCTTCTGTTTTACATACAATTTGGTTTTGGTTGGAATCTTTCAGTGTTTTTTTAATCCCAAGATGTGTCCAAAGGTACACAGAAGGAAAGCTGACTTCCAAACTTGTTCTTCATTCAAACAGAGACTGCCCCATTTTAGACTGTAAAGTTTCTACAGCTTAAAAAAGGCACTTTATCTCCCTACATTAATGTCTAGTTTTGTAATAAGACTTACCACAAAGTATGCTATTGAGAAACAAAAGGAACATAAAATGTCATGGAAGCACTGGGAAAAAATTCTTCGGATCTCCTGATCCATTTTCTGCCAAGATGTGTTTTCCATGTGAAGCCTGTGGTGTCCAAAGTACTAAGACTCCTTGGGCACGCTGAACTCACTTTTTCCTATCATCTAGTTTCCTACCTGCTCTGAAGTATCCTGGACCTCATAAAGTTATCATCTCTCTCTTCCTCAACCTGCAAACACTTACAGCTTCAGCTTTCGGCAGTTATGCAGTGGCCTAATAAGGTATAAGAAGTAAGCCTAGAAAGTCCAAGGTTGGCACTGGTAAAAGAACCACCTTGTCTTAAAGGCTGACAGAATGCCTTGGGTCTTATACTTTGTCCAGTAGTTTCACCTACTCAGGTTTGATCTGATTCCAAATTCGGTCCTAATCACTATACTATCCACTTCCACGTTTTATAAATTAGTTGTTGAAGTTTCTAAATGTCCGTTATGGACTCAATGTATATACATACTGGACTGATGAATTAGTCTTGGTTTCTATCTAAAGGTGCTTTTTGTTTAAGGAGCTTGTTGCTCTACGTGTGGGCCACAGACCAGCATCAGCATCCTCTGGGAGTTTGCTGGAAGTGCAGAATCTCAGGCCCTAGCCCTGGAGTACAGAATCAGAATCTGACTTAACAGGATCCCCAGGTGGTTGGTGCACACATTCAAGTTTGATAAACACTGGTCCCAAAGACCTGGAATAACTGGATCATATCAGCATGATGGGTGGAGAGAGGCATCCTCAGCATCGGGTTCTAAAAAGAGTATCTTTAGATTGTACCAGACTGATTTTTCCATGTCACATAACATGTACATTGTATAGCTATTATCAGACTGTGTCCATTGTACCTATTATATTTGGTGAAAATCTCTGAATTCTTTAAAAAATGTTTAATGTACTTTAAAATATGGTTTGGGTATATAATGTCTTCTACTTTTAATGGAATTGAATATTCAATACAATAACAACCATCTATATGAGATCAAGTAACTATAGATTTCATTTGGCTATTTTAGTTTTATATTACATTTTATTTTTTAAATGAAATCGATTAAGTCAGGGTGAAAATGGGAAAAAACTGATTCATATATTTGGCCCATTGTTTTTTTTTATAGTGAAGCTTAGAAGTCAAAACCTGATTTCCCTCCATCTCTTCCTAGTTTGCCTAATGCCTCTTTCCTAACACTGGATTTGTCATTTTTTTAGATTGAAGTTATGTGCTATGACTGGATTTCTCTTTGTTTACATGGCGCCCTTATGGACTAGCAGGGTCTGTGCTTTAAGTATCTCCTCACAGTCCAAAATTTAACCTGATATACGCATTCATGTATTAACAAATGCTTTTTCAAAATCTCACATGGGAAACACTGTTCTATTTTGCACGCACTGGCACTAACCTAATCGATATAGTTAAACAACTCCTAACCAAATCACTTCCTAGATGAAGGCAATAACTGATTTTGAGGATGGAAAGTGAAGTCCAATGAATTTATACGCATTTTTTTATTATTCTAATACTAAATAAAAAAATCAAAATATCTGTAGTTTACATTTTTGTAAATATTGTAATCTTAAATTGAGCATGGCTTTGTTTTGGGGTTTTCACTGAAATGTAAATACAGGTGTTATGTCAAGAAATGGTTGAGCTATAATGTAATCAAATATCTTAATTTGATTGTAGATACAGATTTGTCCTACATTCTAGAGATTAACTTAAAAAATAATGAATTCACTAGCTATGAAGATGAGGAGATGGAAAGATTTTATTATATTACTTACCCAAACTCAGTCTTATGCCCCGTTGTTATCTGCTACACCTTCCTGCTGAGCAATGACCTTGCTTCTCTCAGGAAAGCCTAATCCTTTCCTTTGAGCCCAAGAAATAGTTAACAGAATACAAAAGGCTTCCTTGTTGAAGTAAGAGCTTCAATCACAAAAAGATATGACAGCAAGTAAGTACACACTTACTAAAAAGTTGAAAAAAGGATTTATTTTCCACCCATAATATCATTATTCATTTTAATTATCTTAGCATCTAGATTTAGTGATAAACATTCACCTCTATCTTCAAGAGCAGTTGGTATTAATAAGTATGAATCAAAGATTGTTCAGAAGTTTAAAAATGCATTTTATTTTTCAGCAAAGATGTCAAGGAAGTTAAGCTTGCCTACTGACCTAAAGCCTGACTTAGGTAAGTAAAGTAAATAAAAATCCATAGTAGTTAAATTCCCTTTAATGGGAAGATAAGGAGATCAGAACACTTAAAATTAGCATAGACTAGATTTTCATCAGAAATCAAGTTTAAAATGACTAAGATATTTAAGGATTAATAGCCTTTAGAATGCCATCTGTAAATTATGAAAGATTTATGAAATCAAGCAAATCAAAATAATACATTTTCTCACCCTCTCAAACATATATCTGAGCAAAATTTAGTATTAAGATTAAGATTTGTGCCATTTCAGATGAATTGCTATCAAAAGTTGTTATTTCACAGTTATCCATCTGAAAACTTTTGAACTCTATAACTTATAAATTTACTTTATAAGAACTTAATATTTTGAAAATAAATACTAGTGTTTTGTATTACAATAACTCATATAAAAGAATCATTACTTTTTGTTGATGATAAGTTGAGAAATATTTCTCTTTATATAGCACTTTCTGTGCAGCTAGTCCATTATTAGGAAAACAGAGTGAACGCATTCACACATTCCTTTTGCTTTATATGCAGCTTAAAAACAGCTTCCTGATATCCCAGGATAGGGACAAAGGAGATTTCAATAAAGATAAAAAGATTTTATGTAATAAGTATTTAAAGCATAGCTTCTTTTAAAACACATTTTTATTTCAGAAATGTATATTGCCCTTAATTAAGAAGTATGACTGTAAGAATGATTTTACCTATTTTTTTCTTAGAAATAGCTAGATTTTTCTCCCTAGCATTTATTTGCCCAACTCATCTTCCCACTATTCTCTAGATTCCTTGATTATCTTTTTATGCATAATACCAAGTTAGGTATTGGTCAATTTTAACATACTAATTTTAGCATTTCTAAATCATGGTCGTACATCAGCTATAGTGATAGAAAGCATGAGATTATGAGGGAGTAGGCATACTGTCTTCTGTTGTCATTAGTAAAGGGTTCCATTCCTGAACATAGGAAAAACAATTTAGTAGAAACCTGTCGTATCACTGGTGTTGAGGAAACATGAATTAATCCTAGAATGTATGAAAGCATATGTTTTGAGAAGGGTATAGTTCCCTTCACTGTAAATATGAAAGATGTATTTTGAACCCATTTGTACCTGAAGCTTACAATATATATTTTTTTCCAACAACAGGATCCAGAGTTTTCATCAGACTCTCAAAGAGGCCTAAAATTTCAATAACATGAAATACTACTAGTTAAAATGTATCTTAAAAATTGAGAAAACATGTACAAATACTTCTAAAATTAATTAAAAATGTAATCATTTTTTAGAAGAACACTCAGTTATAAATTATGTAAATAATTTAATCAAAGTGTATACTCCATGCTTTTATAGGTCATCTTTAGATTATGTGTTAGGTCGTGTGCCTGTGGAAATCCCTAAGCCAATTACTAATTTTGATTGATATGTGCCTTGAAACAGTCTCCATGTTGTCTAAGTGATTTCCCTTCAAGTCATTGTGCTGCAGAACTATTTTTTGATAAAGATTCTTAGCTGCTAATTGTTTCCATTGCCTGGGGAGTAAATGGGGAAAGACAACTATACTGATAGGCTCAAACTGCTAGATGTTGCTGAAGCAGGTGAGGCGAGCGGACTGTCCTGCAGCTCTGAAAGCTCTTGTGAATAGGAACCACTTTTGCTTATGGGGAAATTGTGCAACAATATACTTCCACTCTAGCCTCGCCATTCCAGGTTCCATGGTCCAAAACGCAGGAGCCAACGGGGACATTGTTAGACTTCTGATGTCACTCTTCAAGTGTCAGCCACAGGAGGCAAGACATCAAATTAGGTTTTTTTCGTAGTTTTTTACTCTGACCAAATTCACCTCTTGTCATTATGTCTTGATTTGGGGATATAAAATTTTTTTTGTATTAGGCTTTTTGTGGGGAGGACAGGAGGCTGTGTGTAAGTAGAATATTCTGAGTGTCCAGAGAGTAACATGAGAGCATTGATTTTATGACACCATTGTATCAGCTAACAGTGGGGTTGTGACATTAGTGACAAATTTAAGCTGAGGGTAGATCTGCCGGAAAGACCACTCATCAGCGTGTTTTTGTGTGTATGTGCGTGCGTGTGTGTGTCTAAAGACTGAACTTTAATACTCAGTAACAACCAAAACCCTCCACTCACATGCTGTTGGTGATAGGAGTAACTCCTTGTTTGTCGCATAGAAAGCTTTAGATTTGGACATGGGCACAAATCCTACCTGTCCCATTATACTAGCTTTGTCACCCTGGGCAAGTCATCTAACCAGTCCGAGCTTCTGTTTTATTATTTATTAAATTATGGTGATAATACTTTTCAGGGTTGTTTTGTGGAGTCAATAAATGATCGGTGTTAAATGTTACGTGGATTCAATAGAATGATAAATGTTATGTTGATTCAATAAAATGGTAACTGTTGTTATAGTGTATAATGCATGGTAGGCCTTGCTATTTTCATTTCTACTATTGTTACTAAAATTAAAGTTTCTATTCCTTGTGTTTATCTTGCCCAATTTGTAAAATTCAAGCTGTAGCAGATAACTTAATGGCAGTCAGGGGAAGTTGTAAGTCATGAACTGTTAGAAATTCTAACTTGTTTTAAAACAGTTCTAGGCAGATAAAATACGCAGTCTATAAGTTCAAAGTAGATCCTAATTCACTTCATATTTCCATTTGATCTAGCTTTAGGAATTTCTTTGGTAATCTGATTTTTAAAGGGAAGCCATATAATAAGCATGCATTTGTAGTTTATGAATTTTATATGATTAAATTAGCTAATTAAAACATTATTTGGCCTGTGAATTAACATCTGAAGTAAAGATTGTTGTGATCATCTATTGTAATTTTAATATTAGCGTGTTCACATGTTAATTTACATTGCAATTTATATTACCAAATTTTCTTGTATCATTGATTTCCATTTTTTTCACTAGATAACAACTGAAAATATATGAGCATTCATTTCGTATGTGTATGTTTTATTAAAACAAGTATTTTTATTATTGCAAAATAAATTTAAAAGTTCTGTTATTAAAATAACTTTGGAACTATAAAGAGTTAATATTTAAATCAGTATCATATCACAAGCTGAGTAATAAGCTATTGCTTATGGAAAGTTGTTTAATTTACAGTAAATAGTTCTTTACCACTGTTTCATAATCTGTAACAGGAAGTGCAATCTCAGGCAAAAAAAAGACATTTTTAGAAACTATATTTAGAAATGTCCCATGCTATTGCCGTACCTAGTAACTATTGTTTTCAGAGGCTAGCTATGATCAAAATTGTATATAATTATTACTTGGGGATATATTTTTCAATCTGTGCATCTAAATTTGATTATATAAAAGCTCTCGGGGACATAAGCAGGATTCAACTATATCTTTTTTATTTAATAAAATACTTAGAATTTTAGCATGTTTTTTTTTCCATGACATTATGAAGTTATTTATTTTATAAAAGCAGTGGAAGCATGTGATTTGAGGAATGGTTTATTATATGTGAACAATGGAAGCTACTGAAAATTTTAATATATCCCAGTGGTGCAGCAGAAATGCATTGGTTTAAATACTTTGAACTTTAGATCTGTGTTCAGCAAGTATTTATTTAATATTTTCATATGCAAGGCATCAAAATGTTACAGCTCTTATATCAGGAAACAGAGTCACTTTAGAGTAAGGCCTAAGACAAGTTAGAAGTATCTAAAGAACAAATGCACTATTAATGCCATGGAAGACAGAAAAAAAGTTATTGAGATTCAGAAGAAAAACTCTGTGGTTTTAAGAATCAGGATAAACTTCATAAACGTGACATTACTTGAGATGGATAATAAGCACGGTCTTGATAGGTAGGAAAAACAATGAGGCAAGGGGGCCATCACAGGCAAATGTCTAAAATGTAAGTGCAGCGTGTTCGGAGAACACTGAATGGCTCGGTTTGTTTCCCACAATGAACTGAAGCAGGGCAGCATTGGAAGATAGATACTTTGTGGAGAACCTTAAAAACAAGTAAGATTACAGGCATGATCAGTAAAGAGGAACCACTGAGGATTTTTAAAATAGAAGTGACAGAATTGTAACTGTACATTGTATCGTTGAACTGAGTTGTGCTGTCATGGTGACAGTGGAGGTGGGGAGATCTCATGGGAGCTGTGCAGTAGTCTGTATGATCGGTAATGAAGGCCTGAATTTAGGGTCACGGGACTTGACTGCTTATGGAAAGAAAGAGAACACGGGAATAAAACAACTGAGGACTTGGCATCCATCCCATCAGGTGTATGTGTAAAGCGAAAGGGAACAACCTAAACTGCAACCCGTTCAGTGTTCTTCCCTAGGAGGACTGGTGTGTCATTGATATAAAAAGCACTGTTAGAAGACTTTAGAACCTTGGGGAAATGATGTGCTTTGATTTTGCATAGTGAGACGTAACAGAAAAATTTCCCATAAGCATTTTGAAATGCAGTTCCAAGAGGTAAGAGGCCAGGGCTTGAGGCAGACTTAAAATTGGCACAAAGACGGTAGCTGAAGACTAGAGAAGGTTTACTAGTATAATTTACAAATACCCCTGTCATTGCAGACAGCCAGGAACAGGGAATATACCTGATATGAGTTACACATTTTGATGAGAAATACCTTAGATGAATGGGGAGTACAGTTAAAATGGCATTCAAGAAAAATGAAAGCAAAATTTTTATGGATTAAAGGCTTCATATGGACAGATTTGGGGGAAAAGGTGCATCATACAATAAATTTGAAGGTAGAATCAGAGTACTTCTAAATGCATTTTTAAATATAGAAAACTGAAAATAACCATACTTTTTAGTTCTACCTCATTATGAAATTGTGTTACCAAAGGAAGAAAGAACAACGTAAGAAAAGGTGTACGAGCTCAGATTAGAAAAGCAGCCAGTATGCCAACACAGAGCTGCACTAAAAACCTAAAGATCACACATCCAAAAATCCACTGGGATGCACCCAGTTCAGTTCTAAGAAGTGTGGGTTTGTCCATTTTCATTTTCTAATTAAGCAAAGGCGAAAGTATTAACATAAAAGTAAATTGCTTTTCTTTCCACTTAAAAGATTAAAATGAAATATGTTATAGATACTGTCTTTTTGCAGGTTAACTGTTTAGCCAAATTTATACCAAACAAAAAAAAGTGATATAACGAGCAATCTCACATTTCAAATCATTTTAGATGTAAAAGATAATTCCTTCAGCCGATCCCGGAGTTCAAGTGTAACCAGCATTGATAAAGAAACTCGAGAAGCAATTTCTGCTCTTCATTTTTGTGAAACCTTTACGCGAAAGGCAGATTCATCTCCTTCCCCGTGTTTGTGGGTTGGCACCACGTTAGGAACAGTGCTTGTCATTGCATTGAACCTTCCCCCAGGAGGAGAGCAAAGACTTCTACAGCCAGTAATCGTGTCTCCAAGTGGTACGTATGCTCTGGTGCAGCACTGATACTGAAGGCTGATTTACTCTAATAAAGTAGAAGTCTTGGCTTTCATTTTTTAATGAACCCAAGAATTCTAAAATGTAAGCTACATCGGGATCGTTACAGTCTTATGTTTTTCAGTTAAGGAATACCTGGAATAGATTGAAGAACATCATTTATCTCTACAGCCATTTGGGTTTTGCATTTTTTTAAACTGTAGGATCATGTCTAACATGACTGTGTAAGAAAAGGAACACCCTGCTATTCTGATGCGTTCCAAGATACCTTAAAATACTATGTTCTATAAACAAAAGGTTGATACATGTATAGGAGAAAACAAAAGTATATTTTTAAACGTAATATACTTGACAAATAAAACTTGACTGTTTTTAATCTCTAAGCATGAAGTCTTAAAATAGATTGTTTTTCTTATTTGAAGTATTAGGGAAAGGTGACTTAATAGCAACTTTTAAGAAGAAAAAATATACAGTGTTTATATATTGAAAATGAAATGAAATTTTATCAAATGTATGTAGAGTTCGATAGGCCTGGAAATAACTGAGAATTCAGTTTCCATTACTAGCTTGTGCTGATCTAGAGAGAAAAAAATGTGATTTTGCTCATATTTCTTGTTTTTAGAGTAGACTTTAATAATACTTGAAATTTAGAATTAAAATGGAATTATGTATTATGCTCCTTTTTTAACTAACTTTACATTAAAGGAAGTTTGATTTATTCATTCAGCTCAATAAGTACTCAGTATGTACTACTGCATGCCTAGTTAGAAAATACATAATGATGATATTCTTACTAATCTCATTTTTACCAATAAACAACAATTAAGTGTATAGGGAAAAAACTAGAAAGATGAAAATTAAAATGCAAATAGTTATCACTGAATAGTAGGATTGCGAGTCATTTTTATTTTCTTTTTTACTGATTTGTAGTTTTTAAATTTTCTCCAATGTATTAGTTTATAATAAATATTTCCAATAAATAAAAATGAGAGGGGTTAAATGTAATTTATTATTAATACATAAAAATATTTAAGATTTTTAACTTGCAATAAAATCAAGTTAGCTGTAAACCTTTGATATAAAATAATTATCATATGTAAGAGGCAATCTTTGAGTTCATTCTCAACCTGTTTTAAAATATAACAGTGACATTCATGCCATGTTATCTGTATTATAACTGTGAGAAGAGAGCAGTTTTTTAAGAAGATAGGCTTCTGTACCTAAATACTTGAACTAGTCTACTTTGTTCCCAATTTTTTTTTTTTCCTTTCAAGAGCAGAACATAACAGTTATACTTCTCTGCTGGAAAACATACAAAATCATGCTAACCATAGGACATGCATATATTTAAATATTATCTTGGTCTATTTTTAGAAAATTTGCATACTGGGATTACTATATCCCATATGTGTTTATATGTACTATAAACAGTTCCCAAATTAGCAAACTGTTTAAAATAGTTTAATTGTCTACCTGACAAACCTGAATTATAGACTAAGGTTTCCAGATTTAGCAAATAAAATACAAGATGACATTTAAATTTGAATTTCAGTTAAATATTTTTTAATATAAATACAATATATCCTATACGGAATTAGGAACTATAATGCAGTATTTGGGACATACTCATACTAAAATATACTCATTATGTATCTGAAATTCACATTTAACTGGGTATTATTCACTTTATCTGGCAACCCTGCCATTGATAAAATATATAAATGCAAAGAATAAAGGAAATGATATTTTGTCTTCTAAGAATTTTGAGAGAACATTGGGAACTCTTCCTCTTAAAAGTAAAAACAAATGATGTATGGAAAAAATTTTGCAAACTATAAAATACTATAAAAGTATAAAGTAATATAAAATAAAATATCTTTTAAAATAAGAACTGTTGCAGAATGCTAAATCAGTTCTATACCCTCCCTTCCATTTGTTTCCAAATCCTTAATATCCATGCTATCTTTCAGCTTACTTAGAAATGAGTGTAAAGCATATTTACATATTCAAGGATATCAGGGTAAAAAGGGAGTCCCATTAATTAAAACAAGTAAAGAAATATCACACCTAAATTAAGACCAAAATTATTTGACCAAAATAATACCTTGAATGTATTTGATGTTTACTGGTTAATAGTTTAAAAGGAAATGATTTTTGAAGTAATGTTCAGAAATACGTGGAAATTGTTTTCTCATTGGTCCTGTAGATTGCTGCTGTCCATTCAAAATGCAATGTGAGCCACACAGAGAATTTTCAGTTTTCTAGTAGCCATATTAAAAAAGCAAAAAACAGGAAAAGGTAATTTAAGTAACATTTTATTTAGTCTAATATATTCAAAATACTTTCATTTGAGCATGTAATCCGTGTTTTTAAATTCTTGAGATACTTTTAATTTTGTTCGTACTAAGTCTTCCAATCGGCATGCATTTTACTCTCATAGCATGCCACAACTTGCACAAGGCCCATTTCAAATGCTCTACAGCCACACGTGGCTGCTGGCTGCGGTTTTGGGCAGTACAGCTCCCCAAAGACGCCAAATACTTGCTCTCATACTCGTTGGCAGTGCATTTGCCAGGTATGAGAGAAGACGTGGTTCCCAACATTCCACATTTATCCGTTTGGTGGCACTTGCCTGTTTGGGACATGCAATACCAATACCTTTTTCCAGATTCAAATATCTGAAGTTAGGATCCTGTCAGTAAGCCAGTATACAATTGCAGCTTAGTATATACATTCTGCATATTTTGAGTATCTGTTTCGTGTCAGAGTTGGAATAAACATATTTGCTGTGTGGATTAACATACTTGTTATCTATTAAATGTGCATATTTTAGGTACTATATTGAGGTTAAAAGGGGCAATCCTGAGAATGGCATTCCTGGACACCACAGGCTGCTTATTGCCACCTGCCTATGAATCCTGGAGAGAACACAATGTTCCTGAAGAAAAAGATGAAAAGGAGAAATTGAAGAAAAGACGGCCGGTCTCTGTATCTCCTTCCTCTTCTCAGGAAATTAGTGAAAACCAGTATGCAGTGATATGTTCTGAAAAGCAAGCAAAAGTAATCTCACTGCCAACTCAGAACTGCGCTTATAAGCAAAACATTACGGAGACCTCATTTGTTCTTCGTGGAGATATCGTAGCGTTGAATAACAGTATCTGCCTTGCTTGTTTCTGTGCCAACGGTCACATTATGACTTTTAGGTAAGAGATTTTTTTTTTAAGACACAGCGTTTCCTCCCTCAAAATACATTAAAGAATTATATTCATTTTGAAATAATTATTTGTATACAGTTTTATAAACTTGAGAATTCAGTTCTATTCAGTGAATAGTGAGCAGTTTATGAGGAATACAAATCAGTTTTCTCTCCCACTCAAGTGCACTAAATCATAAAGTTCATAGGTCCCTACCATTTTTTTTCTTTTATAACACTTTGTTGAAGATGAAAACCTAACCTTGTTTATTATTAACAAGTTTTTTATTTTTTTCTCAAGTTTGCCAAGTTTAAGACCTCTATTGGATGTGTATTACTTGCCCCTCACAAACATGCGGATAGCGAGAACGTTCTGCTTCACCAACAATGGGCAGGCACTGTATCTTGTTTCACCTACTGAAATCCAGAGACTCACTTACAGCCAAGAGACCTGTGAAAATCTTCAGGTAAATAACAAAAATATTACTATAGTTTCTTCATGGTTGAAATATTCTCTATAGTTCCTTATAAAGTCCATCCAAAACCAAGTAAGCCAGAGGTCAGAGTTCTTAGAACAGAGTAACGGAGAACTCCGGAGATTGCAGAGGCTCCCCCCGAGAGTATTCAGCAAAGCACCATTTGGCACCTGAATCTAGATGAGCTCTCTGGCCAGGGAAGGAAACACCTGAAAGGGTTACAGGGAAGCGTGCCCTGGTGCCAGGGCCAGGAACAGGGCCTATTCCCAACAGCCAGGCTGAAAAATACCAATCATTCATAAGTGATTAGTTTCCTGAGACTGATGTAACCGATCATCATAAACTTGGTGGCCAAAAACAATATAAATTAGTTCTTTCAAATAAGTTTATTCTTTCAAACTTCTGGAACCCGGGAGTGTAAAATAATTTTCACGGAACCAAAATCAAGGTCATGGCAGGGCTGTGCTCCCTCCAGAGAATCTAGAGGAGGATGTGGTCCTTGTTTCCTCCATCTTCTCGCAGCTGCTGGTGTTCCTTGACTAGTGGTTGCATTGCTCCAGCCTCTGCCTCCTGGGCCACATTGCCGCCTCCTCTTCCACATGTGTCAGGTCTCATTCTGCCTGTCTCTCTTACGAGGACACTTGCAGCGGGATTTAGGACTCATCCATTCAGAATAAGCCAGGGTAATTTCTCCACGGTAAAATACTTAATCAAATCTATATCAAATTAAATATTACAACGTAATATTTATAGGTTCCAGGGATTAGAACCCGAATGCCTTTCGATGGCCATTATTCAGCCTGCTTCAAAGGGGAATTGGGTAAACTACTCACATTCTTGGCTCTCTAGATAGCTGGTAGTCCAAGTGCCCCACCGAGTGGAACCCAGGACAGAGAATCTTGCCTGTGATAGACTGCCGAAGGGCGGGCCGATAAAGCCGGGGTAGTGTTAGCGACATAATGGGGGTAGGATCTTGGCTTTGAGGACGGAGATTCATTCTTCCCTTCCATTTAATAACTTCTTATAATGTTACGGATTTTATCTTGTATACATAGATGGGACCAGGAATGGAAATTTATTTCCAAAATATCTACTTTTTAAAAACCTCAAAAATAGGAATATTTGTATACTTCTTACAAATTTTTGTTCAGTTACTTAGGTTAGCTTTATAGCTCAAGGCTGTTTATGCGAAGTTCTTTTAAAAAAGTTTTGTATGGTTATATGATTGCTTTTACCTTTCCTCTGATTTTCTTGGTTTTACAATTGTGAGTTTCCCAGGAGTAATTTAAATCTTAATATGTTTGCCTTTCCTACAACCTTATTTGTGTGTTGCAAGCACAGAAGTTATTTCCGCAGGGTAAGGGAGAGCGTTACTCCCATGCAGTTTATGACAGCAGTACTCAACAACATAAAAGTGTTCATTCTTCACATTTTCTACAGAGTAAGTGGGGGGGAAAAGTTTTGGGCTCTCTAGTGAGGAATAATTAACCTTAAACTGAAAAGTGCTCCAGACCTACCTAACAAATCACAAAGCAAGGCCCAAAAGGATTGAATTGTTTTCTAGTATCCTAGAATAAAGCTCAAGGTAAATCAGAGGAATTAAAAAAATATCCAGCACCCAGCAAGGTAAACATCACAATGTCTGGCATCCAGTCAGGTTACCAGGCATTTGGTAAAGAGACAGGAAAACATGACAGTTAATTAGAAGAATAATCAATCAATAGAAACCAAACCAAAACTGACAAAGATGTTAGCATTAGCACAGAAGAACAGTAAAACAGTTATAATTGTATTTTGTATGTTCAAAAAGTGAATAGATATAAAAGACCAAAATTGAATACCTAGAGATTAAAGACAGTGTTTGAAATGATGTTGGATGGAATTATAACAAATTATACAGTATACAAGAAAAGATTAGGTAACTTGAGAGTATAGCAATAGAAAGAAATTAAACTTGCCAAATTCATAACACTAAAACATATTAGAAAAGAAATTTTCATCAAATACATTACCTCAGATTCCACCTTAAGAAACTGAAAACGAAAAACAAGTTAAACCCAAAGCTAGCAGAAGAAAGAAAAATAATATTTAAGTGGAATCAGTGAAATTGAAAACAGTAGAAAAACATCAATGAAACCAAAAGCTTAATCTCTAAAACCAGTAAAGTTGATCTCAAGTCAGACTGATTATGAAGAGAAGTTACAAATCAACATCAGTGAGAATGACTGAAGTTACATTACTATAGAGTCTACAAATATTAAAATGGAAAAAGGAAATATTACCACCAACTTTCTACCAGTAAATTAAAAAATGAAATAGTAAATGCAAATGGACAAATTTCTTCTAAGACCCAAGTTACCAAAGCTCACTAAGAAAAAAAATAGAGAACCTGAAGAGTACTATATCTACTGGAGTACTCTATCAATTGAAATTAAGGTTAGAAACCTTGGGCAAAGAGTATTTCAGGCCCAGATGACTTCACTAGTGAATTCTATAAACATTTTAGGAAGAAGCAATTCCAGTTCTTTCTGAACTTTTCTGTCCAGCCCTCAGGAAGAAACTAAAAAAATACTTCAGCTCCCGTTTAATAACGTAGTACCAGAGTACAGCAGAACTGGGACCAGGAACCAGTACTGTGTGTGTTCTGTATAATAGTAACTTCTCTTCATTGGGCAGAAATGCAGTCCCACCACCTTGCTATACTTTGATTTTGCTTCTAAAGCTTTTCAAAGCATCCTTGTAAATAATGTTGCTACTGTCCTCTTTCCTCTCTATGAGTTATCTACAAAGTCAGTAACCTGTTAGTAACCTTTCTAGTCTCCAACTGTTACCATTTCTGTGCTTGGAAGAACACTGACAGGAATTCAAAAAACTGACAATATAGAAAGAAGCCTTCCCATCTCTCAGCCATATTTCTGAAATTCCATGTCTGTGTTGGCATAATTCTCTTCCTAGTATATGTTTATGAAAAAGTAAGTTGGTGTGTCTTTCTAAATTACTAATTTTTTGACTCAATTGAAGGTGGTAATTTCAAGACTGCATTTTATCATTGCACTAGGTTTTTATCTTGTTAGTAACTTTTCTTCTTTCTAATGTAGGAAAAGCTAATTATCAATCAAGTTACCAATAGTAATAAAAGTTATGTGGAAATTTTGTGAAAAGATTGGAATCTTCTTCCAGTTTAAGCATGAATATCATCTTTGCTTGAAATGTAAGGAAAATAATCTAGCCAAAGTAGCAAGCAGCAAGTCAGTCTTGGTCAAATTAATTTTAATAACTTACTGTTTGATGAAGTCAGTATGTATTGGATCTGATCATTTGAAATATGCTCTTAATTATTTGTGAATCTCAACAGGTTATGTTGCAAAATTAAGTTAAGGAGTTTACAGTGATGGTTTTGTGAGTCACAGTTTAGTTTCCCAGAAACTTTAACAATGACAATGTGTTTTGATTTTAAAGGAAATGTTGGGTGAACTCTTCACTCCTGTAGAAACACCTGAAGCACCAAACCGGGGATTCTTTAAAGGCTTATTCGGAGGTGGTGCACAATCTCTTGATAGAGAAGAACTGTGTAAGTTGATTCATTTAATTTGAGTAATAAATCTTAAACATTCAAGCCACATAATTTTTTTACATGTATATATTATTTCACCATTTTTGTCTTTGTCACAATTAACATATCCATGAAATTATTTTCCTTTGCTCTAACCCAGTTCAGGGAATTATTTTACTTAGGGATCCAAAACCAGAATAGCTTCAGGTAGCTAAATTGAGTAGTCACAGCTTGATATAAATACTTTAGAAAATATTTTTATCAAATGTGGTCATTATTATTTTAATTGATGACCTCTAGTTAATGACCTTAATTTTGAAAAAGTTTTTATTTAAGCATTTATTGTATCTTACAAAATCTCCAAAGCTATTCTCATTGCACTAGAAGCTTATTTAAAATAGCAGAATCTGCCTCATTTACTATTTCCACATAGTGGGAACAAATTAGAAATTGCTCCCTGAGTGAACTAAGGAATCAAGGAATGTTTGACTTGTCTTTCAAGTAGTAGGAGCTGTTATCTATACTTGAATTTCTTTCTTTTTATTCTCATTTTCCTAAAATATTTTAGAATTTTGCTTTGTGTTTAATTAGAAAAGCCTACAAGATTAAATACCAGTAATAAGCAGTGCAGTGCAATTTTATTTTTAAAAACTTATGTAGATGAATGAGGATTAGTCAGTTTTAATTCATTTTAAAAAATGAAGACTGTTCTTTAATCATGGAGGACTGATAATTTGGAATAACCATCTTACCAAGGATAATTATGCAAATTTTAAAAACAGCATTTTTAAACTTTTAGAAACACCAAAGAGCTAACAGTATAGTAAGGACAGTATCCACGGGGAAGGGTGGGAACCCAGAGTGGTGAGTGTGGCAACCTGAGGCCACTTTTACCCTGAAATATTTTGGAATCTGAAGCTGGAGACTGAGATACTAAACTGTGTTAGGACTAGCAAAATGGGGTCCCAGAACTGACAAGGGTGGGGACACTGATAAACAAATCACATTCTTTTCAAGGATGACAAAGGGCTGCACCTGAAGAGTAAGAAGAACTGGAGGTAAATCAGCCTCCCCCTGCCCCCCACACACAGACTTTCAGCTCAGTTTTAGATTATTTGAATGGCCAAAAAACTTTCAACCTCAGTTAAAATTTTTGCAGACTGCTAAAGTCCCCAGCACATGGCAGAAGCAAATGATAATATTTGCAAAGGAAGATGACATATCCAAGTACTCAAGTGATTTCTAGAAATAATTTTTTAAATATGTAGTCTTAAATAACCAAGAGCCCTAGAAATAAACACCTTAATCAATAAAACAATAAAACAATGAGAATAACAGATACTTCAAATATTGTAATTACCAGATATAGACTATAAAATAAGTATGCATATTATCTTTAAGAGGATAAGCACCATGCCTTAACAATTTATTAAGTAACTAAAAACTTTAAAAATCAATACAACAAATGTGTAAAAGACTAAAATGAAATTGGAAAACAAATAAAAAACCAAAATTAAAAACTTAGTGGATGAATTTGTCCACAAATTAGACAAAACTGATGGAGAATTATATAAAGATTGATCAAAATAGCACAGAGAAACAAAAAGATATAAAAAGCAGAGAAGATTAAAGAAATAGAAGTTGCAGGGAGAAGATCTAATAATACATATTTAGACCTTCTCAAGAAGGAAATAGGAAAGAATGTGAAGAAGAATTATATGTAAAGAAATATGGCTAGAAATTTTTCAGAATTGATAGGAGATACCAGTTCACAAGTTCAAGAAACCTGTTGAATTCCAAAAAGGTTATTTTGTTATAAGTTCACAGCTAGATACATCATATGAAAATACAGTGTATCAGAGACAAAGAGAACATCTGTGAGGTGGCTAACAAAAATTAATAGCTACTTTTTAACAAGCAGGAGGCTGGCTTCTCAACAGCCAGTATTAGCATATACATAGACAGAAGATAATACTTAATCTAGAATTCTGTACTCAAAATATCCTTCAAGAATGAGACATTTTTAGACAAATGGGCAAATAAAATAAGCCTTGCCACTGCTGTCAGAGGTTCTCCAAAGGATGCACTGTAGAGAGAAATCAGTCCTCAGCAGAGGGTTACAAATACAGGGGACAGTGCTTTGGAAAGACAGTAATACGTATATAAATATAATTATATAACCTTTATAAACTATAAAGGAAAGTCTCATGGTATGTGTATATATACATACACATATAAATAAACAATATTGACCCCCCCAAATTGCATAAAATCAAGAGAGTTGGAAAGGGTAAGTAAAAGGGTAAATAGATTTGAGATGATCTGAGATCCCTAATTTGTTTGAGAGGATTGTAAAAGTATCCATTAACATTAATAAGAATGCATCTTATAATTTCCAAGAATGAGAGTGGTCATCTTTAGGTGAGTTGGGTGGGGACCATTATTCTGCCAACCACAGTAGTATTAAAAGATACCTTGAAATAACTCAACAGAATATGTGCAGGACCTCCATAGAGAAAATAGAGAATTATAAAACTGTCAGAAAGTGAAAGACCAAAATAAATGGAGAGGTATATCATATTCATGCAGTAGAAGTTTCAGTGGAGGACATTACTTCTCCCAAAACCGATGTATGCATATACACACATATATGCACACTGTCCTGCCGCCGAAAATTCTGTAAATGATTCTAAATTTTACATGGAAATTCAAAGGGTCTCACCACTTCTCTTTAACATTGTACTAGAGGTTTTAATGCAGGCAGTTAGGCAGGAAAAGGAAATAAAAGGTATGCAGATTTGAATGCAAGAAGTAGAACTATCTCTATTGGCAAGTTACATATTCTTGCATGTAGAAAATCTTCAGGAGTACACACCAAAAAATGTAGCTAACAAACACGTTTAGTAATATTGCAGGTCAAAGTAAATAATAAACTATTTATATACACTGGCAATGAACAAAATGAAAAATTAAGAAAAAAACCATTTTTAATAGCATCAAAAGATAAAATATGTAGGAATAATTTAACAAAAAAGTGTAAAACATACACTAAAAACTTTAAAACACCATTTAAAGAAATTAAGACATAAAAGGATTGACGTCTTGTGTTCATGGATTAAAAGATTTAATGTTGCTAAGATGCCAATATTCCCCAGATTAATCTGTACATTCAACATAATCCCTGTCAAAATCCCAGCTGCTTTTTTGAACAAAGAAACAAGATGTTTCCAAGATTCATATGGAAATGAAAAGGATCCATAATAGACACACACACACACACACACACACACACACCACACCCCCGCCCCCCCCCCCCCCAATCCTGAATGAAAAAGGAGCAAAAAGGTGAAGGACTCACATTTCGATCTCGAAAGCTACCACACATCTGTAAACATCTATCAGATAGTGTGCTACCAGCATATCAATAGATACATAGCCTAATGGAATAGAATTGAGAGTCCAGAAATAAGCTTATCGTATGTGTTTGGTCAATTGATTTTTCTACAAGAATGTCATGAAATTTCAATGGTGAAAGAATGGCCTTTTCAACAGATGGTGTTGGTGCAGCTGGATACCCACATGCAAAAGAGTGAAGTTGGACCCCAACCTCACACCATACACATAAAATTAACTCAGAATGGGTCACAGACCTCAATGTAAGGAGCTAAAACAATAAAACTCTTAGAAGAATAATATAGTTATAAGTCTTTGTGACCTTAGATTAGGTGGTTTCTCAGAGATGACACCTAAATCACAAGCAACTAAAGAAAAAAATAAATTGGATTTCTTTAAAATTAAAAGCCAAAGAACAGTATCAAGAAAGTGAAAGGAAAACTCACAGAATGTGATAAAATATTTGCAAATCGTGTATCTGACAAGAGTCTACTATCCAGAATATATGAGGAATTCTTAGAGTTCAGCAATAAAAAGACAATAGTCCAATTTTAACTGTGCAAAGGGATTGAATTTTTTTTTTCCAAAGGAAATATACAGGTGGCCAATTATCACATGAAAAGATGCTGAACATGATTTGTCATTAGGGAAATGCAAATCAAAACCACAATGAACTACCACTTTACACTTACTAGGATGGCTGTAATCAAAAAGGTGCACACTAACAGATGTTTTCAAGAATGTGGAAAAATTGAAACCGTCATACATTGCCAAAAAAATGTAAAATGCTGTAAACTCTGAAAAATTTTGGCAGTTCCTCCAAAGGTTAAACAAAGTTATGTGACCCAATAATTGCGCTCCCAGGTATATACCCAAGAGAACCAAAAACATGTTCACACAAAAACTGGTCGTATTCCTATCAGCATTATTTGTAATAGCCAAAAAGAGAAAACAACTCAAAACATCCATTAGCCAATGAGTACATAAACAAAATGTCATCTACTTATACAGTGGAATATTAGTCAATCATTAAAAAGGATGAGACACTGATATATGCCTTAACATGGTTGAACCTTGACAACATCTTTCACATGGAAAAAGCTGGACCCCAAAGGCTATGTACTATATGAATCCATTTATATGAAATATTCACACTAGGAAAATAGAGGAGAGAATTGATTGCCAAGGGCTGAGAATAGGGGAAAATGGAAATTGGTTGCTAATAAAGTTGGGGGTTTTTTTTGTAGTGATGAAATGCTCAGGAATAGATACTGATGATGGTTGCACAACCTTTTGAATAAACTAAAAATTAGTTGTGAATTGTTGAGCAGGTTTTATAGTATGTGAATTCCATTTCTAAAGAAAGAAAGGGATTTTGGGGGCAGAGGGAACATGCCAGCAGCCCCTAGCAGAGTTTGGCGGTCGGCTCTTCAGCTGTTGTGGTAGTCAGGGCCTGGGTAATGAGGCGAAGGGGAGCCATGAACACCTGAGATTCTTTTGAAGGAAAAAGTCGATCCATTGGTAAGTGACAAGGTAGATGGAGAGAAAGAAAGGGATGGAGCCTAAAATAGAATACTGAATAAATTCTTCATTTTTCTAAGCCTAAGCATCGTATTTTAAGTAAGACAAAGCATGGAGTAAATAAACTAACATAAATCTGTATATTTAAATTTACATCTGTGTATTTTATTTAGATACCTTTAATGTATCTTCAATTTTTTCCACACTTAGGAGCAGTTTTTACTGTAAAACAAATTGGTATCTGTATACCCATCATTCATTTCAATAAATAATTACCAGTCCCTTCTTTGCACAAGTCCTGTTGTACATAGAATATAGTACTTACAATGTACACTGTGTTTTGCATGTTTGAAAAGGTATGTAAAATTAAAACCATATGATAAAAGAAAAACGTATTAGAAAGTGAAATATATAAATATTTCAGTTATATTGTCATTCAGTGCAAAAATCGTTTTAGTGCTATCAGGTAACAGGATTTTATATTAGTAAAATTTTCATCTTTTGAGTTACTCTTTCATTTATCAATTCATCCAGTTGGAGAATCTTCCTCAGGAAAGGCTTCAAGGAGTCTTGCACAGCACATCCCTGGCCCTGGCGGCATCGAAGGTGTGAAAGGCGCAGCGTCTGGCGTCGTCGGTGAACTAGCACGAGCCAGGCTGGCACTGGATGAAAGAGGGCAGAAACTGGGGGACCTGGAAGAAAGGACCGCAGCTATGTTGTCCAGCGCAGACTCGTTTTCTAAACACGCTCATGAGGTGTGTCTGTCAAACAAATATTTAAACAAAAGAAAACCTCATTAGGACAAGTATGAAAATGACTGTTTTTTCATAGTTCTTTTTTTATATCTGCACGCGTGGATTTTTGTGTATTCTCTGTACAACCACAAATTCCTGACTTTTGCCACCAGAGGGAACTATTACAAGAATGTCTCAGTAGCTTTGGTCTTTTACTGAGGTTTGTGAGTCCGAGGGAACCTGCTGAGCGTCAGGCTTTTTCTTTGCACCTGTTCCTTACAGGGTGCAGTGACAAAACCCTTTCTTCATGCCTCAGATTCTACTACCGTTTCTCCCATAGAAGGAAATAATTTCGCTCTCTTGATTCTTCAGGTAGATCTGAAAAACTAAAATTGGCAAGTGCTTTACTCAACCAAATCTGTCTGTAGACCACTTGAAACAGAAGAGTAGTACGATGCATTTTTGCAGTGAATTCATCTTGATGAACCAGGAAGTCATGGTGGAGTTTAGAAAGGGATTCTACAAAGTATGGCTTCCTAACTGGTCCTCTTACGAATATGTTTTGTTGACCAGCATAGCACACTTAAAAACCTAGTTTAGGCCATTAGGTAGAACACACGTTTTTCATGTTGACGCACAGGTCTGCCATTCCTTGATGCTTTACACTGGACAGCATCACACATTCGGTTCCTAGCCTCCTCCTTGGGGACATTTCGAGTTTGTTGTCTGAAAAATTCACAAGGTTTTATGTTTGAATACCCAATCTAGCAGCAATAGATCTTCTGTACATTTTTCAGTCAAAAGTCATCTCTTTCTTGCTCAAGAATGCTGACACCTAGAATGCACAAAAGAGGTAACTTGACCTGAAAAATTTGTGTCCAGGGCTTCAAAGAGATCCAGAGATCTTTTGTCAGTCCTGGTACTAGCCTGACACACCTCAGACATTGCCTAGCAGCCTTCGACCTAGGACAGGAATTCTGTTGGCATGACCCCGCATCTACCTGTAATCCCCAAGGCATGTAACACTGCAGTAAATGTCAGAATATAGCCACATTCTAGATACTTAGGTAAGAGCTCAATTTTGAACTGCTGGCTTTTCCCTCCTACTAAATATTCTTGAGTCATATTTTAGAGCCTAAGGAAGACAGTACATTGAAATAAATGTTGGTTAAGATCATGGGTTCTTGAATCAGACAACAGGGCCTCAAACCCTGGTTTCACCATTGTGTTACTTTGGGTAACCTCTTTAAGCTTCAGTTTCTTCATTTTAAAATGGAGAGAATAATAATTCCTAACTCATAGAGCTGTTTTGAGAACCAAATGAAATTGTGTAGAGAAAGTGTCTCATAACAGTGCTGACTCAGAGTAATGCTCAATTTTAGATGGCAATAATAGTAGTATTTTTAACCTTTCATTTCCAGTTTCTTTAAGCATCATTTTTAGTCAAAATTAGAGAACTGAAAATTACCTTATTTGTAAGTTATTGACTTAGGTCGCCAAAGAATGTGCTGAGCTGAAATTTAATTATGTCACCTAAGAAATGTGAGGGTCTTCGAGGCTGGTTCTTTTTTTAAAAAGTTTTTTTTTTTTTTTAATTTATTGATTTTAGGGAGCAAGGAAGGGGGGAAGAAAGGGGAGAAAAACATTGATTTTTATATTGGTCTGTGTACTAACGCACTCATTGGTTGATTCTTTTATGTGCCCTCACTGAGCATCGAGCCCACAACCTTGGAGTCTCAGGAGAGCGCTCTAACCAACCGAGCCACCAGCCGGGGCCTGAACTGTTTAATAGTTATGGACTTTGTTTCTCTGAATGAAATAGTTCTCACTGCTTTCATTGTAAATTGATTTGAAGTGAACAATATAGTAACACTATAGAATGTTTCAGAATGGTATAATGTTTTGTAAAAATAGAGAAATCGTTTATAGCTTACAAATATTGTTGTTCCATCATTTTTAAAACATGTTTTTCATGTTTTCTCTCCTTTAGATGATGTTGAAATACAAAGATAAGAAGTGGTACCAGTTTTGACCCCTAGAAATCCAACTCCATCCAAATTCCGCCAAAAGGAAAAAGAATTTTCCTTTTTTATTTCATTGATTTTACTTTAGGAAAGTTAACATTGAAGGATATTCATCACTGGATGCTGTTCTTTCCTAGCACAATCATGCACTGTTTTACCTCAGTCATGTGGCTTTAACTGAGGAGTGTTCACACACGCTCACCATATGGTGTGTGCCAGCTATGAAATGACAGTTTGGAGACCAAGCAGGTCACACTTTACAGACGAAGAAACAAAGCGGGACGTTGAGACATGGCAGGGACTATTCTGGATCAGCCCTGTGTTAAACTTTCATATGCCAAAAGATTTGTGCTGTGCGTCTGCTGCCATCAGTGTTTGACCTCTGAGGGAGAGGCTGTAAGTTAGAAGTCGTGCAGCTCGAATAGTTATGTGTGTCTCACTGACTGAATTACGAACAGCTGTCTTGGACTTTCCCTACCTTACACTGACTGGTCATCAGTATCCTTAGTAAAAAGAAACAAACTGTTTGTTACCATATCTTTAGACAGATAAGCTGAATGGTGGGCTTTAAATAATAAAAACATACACATTAGTTGACTTGTGTATGGGCTACTCTTGGATTCTTGTTATTGTATACTTGTGTTTAGTCCATATTTTGTCAAAAGCAAAACAAGGTGATACATCACTTTTCATTGAAAAGAAAAGTGTAGAGCATGACTGAACTGCTCATCATTCTGGGAGTTTCCATGTAGTGGCTATGCAGTGTGGGAAGTGAGAAAAACCTCCATTGTGGTGAGGAGAATACTTCAATGTCCCTTGTCCTTGTTCTCATTAATTCAGCTGAAGGTGGATTTGACCAAAATAGTTACTGGTTAAATTTGTAGAAATGTTGAAATTGGCTAAGTTTTTAATTTTGCTTGAGTTTTTATAAAATGTTTAATCAAATGTACCTTTGCATTATTTAATTAAAATTGCTTAAAAATTGTTTATTTCAGTAAAGTGCTCAGCTCCCTTTTTAATATGCCCTTGATTTGCTAACAGTTCCAGTACACAGTACACTCAGGTGATGAGCCAATTCAATCGTAGCGCACATGCTGTCGCATGGAGAATTACAAGCATCTCGTCAACCATTTATCTGTACAAGAGTCTAGTCTGATGACCTACAAACTATTTTCTGTAGAAATATACTATACATCTGTACATGTCCTTTCAAGGTTTTAAGAAGCCAAAGGAAAGGAAAATATGTGCATTTTTGTAACTAAATTATTTCTGTATTGGAATATAATGCAAACGAGACCATCAGAGGACAATAAATGATTGGTTCCTAAAACAGCATTGCAGACAGGAAAGAGACAACTCGGCAGACCTTGGAAATAAGTGATCTCGTAACAGGCATCTGAGGTTATTATTGATTGTTAGTAAAACAACAGAGGAAGAGCAAAATAGAAGCATTACACTTAATGAAATTCAAATATTTTCTTCTATAAAACGTTGAAAACCGTTCTCTTTTTTTCATTGAGATAATTAGAGCACAACTTGATAGCAAACACAGTGGTTGTTTTTCTATTCCATGTGATCATTAAAGGTATATACATGTAGAACCCCTTAATTTCATGCAGTCTGTTATGCATCTTCTTTTACTCTTTTCATTAATGAAGCCTTTTTGTTTACATTTTATAACATGCACTACGGGCAACAAAAGTTTACATTAAAATTTTCTTTAATATCATTAGAGAGGGACTAAATATATGTGGTAGAGATCATCGATAAAGCCAAAAGAAATATTTTAAAAATACAGTACTTTTCAAAAGTTTTTGAATTTGTAGAAAGTCTCTATTAATAGCATATTGTGTTTCATTAATGTCAGTCGTATGATGAATATTCAGCCGTTTACAAATGGCTTAATTTGTATTGTATATTATCTAACAAACCCATTGTTCCATATGTCACAGGAAGTATTAGGCCCTTTTTTTAAAGGTATAGTTACAGGTTTGAAGTTGAGAAGCACTAAATAAAGTAATATATTGGTTAATTACCCATTCATGTGGAAAGACAGATTAGCTGTAATTAATTAATTTGCTGTGTTGTGTTAATTGTATAGCCATGTCATTTTTACTGTCATTTTTCCTGTTGTATATAAAATGAACCAATCTTGTAATTATTTTCAAATAGAGAAGTAGATACGTTTACCTGAGATGGATTTTATAAGAAAATTTTAAATCAGTATTTTGGGTTATTTTATTTCATTTTTAAATTAATCTACAAATTATGCACAGCACACTAGAAACTTAGGATTAGAAAGCTTGAAGTATTTTTGAAAATAGGAAATAAACTTCTCGAAGTTATACTTGATTCAGTCTGTAGATAAGAGACAGTCTGCAGGAATAACTAACCCAGGGAATTTATTGTAATTTGAGAGATAACATCTCTATATTTTTCTTTTTAAATGCAGAAATAGTCACCAGCAGGCCAAGATTTCAGGAAAACAAACCAAAAAAAGTCAAAATAGAAAATATTAGAAAAATGAAAGATTACGTGTGCTTCCTCGCATTTGTCCTTGGCTCTAAAATCATTGAAGTATTCGTTGATTAGCAGTTTGTGAATAGGAAGTGGTTTCCTTATGTGTATCATATATCCAGTTCATTTCACTCTTCAGACTGAAATCCGTATGTATTTGCTTAGAAAGTTAATTGAAATCTTATATTCTGACAGATTCTGTATATTATAGCCATTTGAAGTTTTGCATCATCTTAATCCCCTTGGTTTGCATTTCAATTGTACAAAGTGTTTCCAAAAATGGTTATGGATATAAAACTGAGCTATTGCTAACTTAATTTGACTTTTATATGGATGTGAAAAAATGCTGCTACTTGTCTATGTTATGTGTAGTATATTAGTTTAATTCAGTACAGTACTTTAAAGAAAGAAGCATTTCTTTTGCTTAGAACTTCTTAATTGTAGGTACCACTGAAGTTATTTCATGTAGATATTGTGAGTGTTTTAAACAAGTCTGAAAGTGTTACATACTTTTAGGTTACAAGGGGTGGTGGGGAGACAGCTGAGGAAAAGGAGAACCGTGTGGAAGACACCACGGAGTTCAAAAGTTTTACCCTGAGTTCTATATTCTATATACGTTTTGCTTAAGGCATTTTCTCATGAGACATTAGAAAAGCTATATCCAAAGGTAAATTTTTTGTGGCAAAGATTTATTTTACATTTTAACTTTTGGGATTTTGTTTATTTGGTTTTTCAAAATAAAGAGCACTGAACTTTAAACTTGAATTTTTTCTGTACTTTTTTAGGTAATGAAAACTTTTTATCATCATTTAATCCACATTTCTCAGTTCAAACCAAGTGATACGTATGTATAAAGCATACCAAAATCATGAATATGCTGCTAGCTGCACCTTAAACAATCAAACTGATCATAGTTTTAAAACCTTTAATAGGTTTTTATATAGTTTTCAAGCATAAAATGTAGTAAAATCATTTGCTGTATGTTTCAGTGTTCTAGGTTTTAAATTTCTGCAACACTTTCAGATTTGTTTTGAGATCATACGGTAACATGTTATATTTATACATACTGCTAGAGAATATACTTTTAGTTTTAAAATGGAATTTTTATAAATGTACTCTTTAATTTTCAAAATGGTGAACTTGTTAAGTCAAAGTACTTAAAAAGTATGTATATTATCCATACAAGAAGTTATGTTTTACGCTTATAATAAGAAATACTGGTATCTCATATCGAGATACAATTAATTTTAAAGTATCATAACATCATTCAGAGGTCTTCACACGTGACAGGAAAGATTACGATGGTTTTAAAACCCTCTATTGAGCATTTTCAAATATTAATTTTATTTTGGGGAAAATACCCACAACAATCACTGCAAAATCTTTCTCAATAGCTGCAGCTTGCTGTTGGATGCCTACCTTACCTATTGTTTTAAAATATATATATTTAAAATAGTTTTCCAGGTATTTTCTTCTACCTTTTTTAAAAATAAATTTCCAAAAATGAAAACAGAGTTTATGTATTTTTGTCAATGAAGGTTTTTATTTTGTAGTTTATAGAATTTGTTCCTTATCAGTTTGATACTTAATCAATATTCCTAGAATTTTTAATCTGTATTTAGTTTGAAAAAGAGCGCTCCTCTATCTTATGTGTCCTTTTTTATTTTTTTTCCTTTTCCCATTTAGGGTCTTTGTTCTCTTGGATTGAAATTAATGCCCATAATTATTTTTAATTTAAGTATGAATGTGAAGATACTATTTACAGCTTTCGTTGATTATATGTTTCAGAAATCACTCTGACCAATTTCTTGTAAAGTGCTATGGGGATTATTTTTCCTGTGAATAGTAATGATCTTACTACTGCCACAGACATTTTAAAGATTCCATGGGCAGAAAATAGTTGTAACAACAACAAAAATTGAAGGGAAAGCTTTAGCTTACCTTTCTCAGCTGAATTAAATGGTTTTAATAACTTCCCAGTTATCAGGGTTATAACATTGCTTTCTTCAGTTATTCATACAGTTTAAAATTAGCAGACAATCCACTTACAAGTTGAATACAGTAGTCTAGGGCTACATTTAATTGCTCTTTTTATTATACTCTTTACATCAGAAAAATCATGAATGTCAGTTTTGCCAGTATTTTATGATGAGGCTCATAGTTGAAGCTAAAATTTTATAATGTGCAAGATGTAAATAAATCAGTATTGTAGATTCTGCTCAGGCATTTACAATGGATATAGGCTAATGGCAATGGAATCCTATTTATTTGGAAGTTTCACTTTTTTAAACACTTTTGCTGTGTGTTTTGTGTTGTTTAAACTTTGCTTCAACTGAAGATAATTAAGGAGTTGACAACAGATTCAATAGGAAACAAAAGAGGGTAAACCATGTTTTTAATTTTTTAATTACCTTTTTTGTAAATAAATGGTACTGTGATACTTTAGGTGTGACCTCTGTTTAACATGGTAGTTAGAACCAGAAAAACATTTTGCTTTCTAGTTATACTATTGGTTCATTGTAAATGCATCACCAAAAACAATATTAAAAAGAGCAAGATTCAGTTTTCCTCTCATGCAGGGGCAAAGCATGCTTGGTATAGAGCTCTAGCTTGTGCATACCTTAAGCTGTACGTGCAGATAGTGTTCCGTTGCCGCACTTTATTTATATATTTATATATATGTGTGTGTGTATACACACACACACACACATATATATATATATCTTGCTCAGTCCAGTAACTATCTCAAAGGTGATTGCTGGAATATGCATTTTAAGTATAGTTTAAAAAAACCCCATCTCTGTGTACTATTTCATTTTTAAAAACATCCAAAAAGCACTATTGCAAACACTAAAAATGTGTTAAACTTTGTAGTTATTTTGCATTCCTGTACTTTACAAACTGTCATCACAGCAAAAGGTTTAAAATTAGGTAATGAAATATTTTTGTAAATAAATACCATGAAGCTGGTATTTTAAAAATGTACTATAAATTAATGTTTCTGGAAACTGTTCATATATATATGTATATGAATGTCTCTTTATGCTGAAGGGCTCTGATTGGGCAAAAATAAAATACTCTAATCTCTCCTGAAACTAAACAAGCCCTTTATTCTGGAGGATTCGTTTTAACTTTTTTTTTCTCTGAAGTGTGGAAGTAACCCATTAGTTTAACCTAAGCAAAAGGAAAGTCAAGTTCATGAAGTAATTCAAGTAAGACAAGCTATATTTTTCTTAATTACTGGACTCTGTGGTGAAAGTCACCTGCCCCTGCATTGGGTGGGAGCACAGTAGGGGCCGAGAGTCATAGGCGTTAACTGTAGATGAACACTTCTCGGCATGGCCCGAGTGTAGGGAGGGATCCCCTGAGCATCTTTGCGGATGCAGGTTCAGATTCAGGGCATGCGGGGTGGGGCCTGACTCTGCATCTTGAACAAGCTCCCGGTTCATGGGACATACTTGTAGTAGCAAGGCTGTAGATAATTGCTAGTTAATACAGTATCAGTGTCCACTCATTTGTACCAAAAATGAACATCACATTCACTGGTCTAAAATAATGTAACTTAAAGCAGATTTTCATGGCATCTCAAAATAAATATGGTAATTCTCATTAAATTGAAAATTTATGTGGTGTTGAAATCTGTATACTACTACTGCCCACACGGTGGCAGTCATGTCTCATCTCACCATCCGAGCATCTGCCAAGAGCCTGCCGTACCAAGGAAAAACCATAGACCTTGTTAAGGTTAATTCTCACGTTTGATAACTTTTTACCTAGGAAATTACTGAAGTATTAGATATGGAACTGACAAAATGTCTTGCTATTTGTTGTCAAGTGATGTAGGTCATATGGTTCAGTGAACTGGTTTATTATCGAAAGAAATGTGAGCATTTTTCCAGAAAATACAGGCATTAAATGATAAAAATTTAAAAACCAAAATATTGTCAGCATGCCTCTGTAGCTTTCTAAAGAAACAATAAGGGCATGTTGTGTGTAAATGGGACAGTGTCATCCACTGTGTGTGTATAACATTGTAACTTAATTGGCAAATTTTGATTTTTTCCCATTATTTAAAAAATAATATGATTTGTATGTCAACATACTTTCAGTTTTTTGTAAAACATGGTCTTTTAAAGAAAAGACTTTTCTAAGTTATTTTTTTTTTTCAAATTTTATTTGTCTAACATCAATACTGTGTAGTCACTCAAAACTTTATGGAAATATTCAGACCTTTAGATCACATTTAATTTTATATATTTTAAAAAACAAAACTTTCATAACTGCCTTTAAAATAACATAAAAAGAAGACCATTAAAGTGTAAGAGAATACTAGCAACGGAAAATAAACAAGTCTGAGGACTTCGTTTAAATACCAAGCTCAAGTTCTTTATTTCCTCGTCTGTTGCAAATTTCTGTCATCCATGGAAGACCTAAGGTAACACTGCTCCGCAGGTGTTCGGAGGGGCAAGGAAACAACAGCGTTACTGTTACAAACTGGGTGTCTGCGTGTCTCTTCCCAAGCAGGAGACTGTGCATCTCTCCTGGGCTGACTCTGTCTCGGACTCTTCCTTTTCCCCCCACTTCCTCATCTCTTTCCCTCTCGCCTCTCTCCATCTCAGTTCTGTCTCCATCCCTGATGTCTCTCCCTAAATCTCTTTACCACTGATCATTTTAGCCAAGCACATTTCTTTGCAGATTTGGGGTGGAGGTGAATACTGTAATTCTTTGTTTCTCAGGTGCCCCTAAGTATTGAGCGGATCTATAAATTTTATAAACAACAATGCAATCTCTACTCATTGTCGTAACTCCCAGTCAAAATCTCAGCAAATAAAGCAAAAAATGTAATACCCAGGACACCTGCGCTGAGCCGCGATTGTAAGCGTCGGCACCGACCACGTGATGCGAGAGAAAGCGCTGTGCTGGCAGCCCCGCGTCCAGCCCTGGCGCCTGCACTGGGGCGCCTAACCCGGTGATGCTTCACTTCCGAGTTCAGAGACTTCACTTCCGAGCTCTAAAACTCCACGGAATCATTAGCATTGTTTACGTGTAAAAATTAGAAGAGCACATTTCAGAAAATGGAATCCTTCGTGTTTCTTTAACAATATTGTACCTCCGGATACCATTAGCCTACACAGGGGTTCTCAAACTTGAGCACAGACTCTCCTGGAAACCTTGCTAAAACCCAGGCTGCTGGGCCACACCTCCAGAGTTTATTGCTCAAGGATTGTAGAGTGGGGCCCAAGAACTGGGAATTTTTAACATGCTCCCAGTCCACGCTGGTGGGGCTGGTCCACAGACCATGCTTTGAGAATCCTGCTGTGGAGCAGAGACCTACAACCAATTTCCCCTTTATATCACCGATATTTTGGATGTTTTCTCTACCACGATCTAGTGAAATTTATAGATTATATATATATATGCCCATATGTGCATTTTTTTAAGCTTGATATGTCTTAATACACCAGAGATGGAAATGAACATGATTTATAATCTTTTAAAATGTATTTAAATATGTAAAGTAAGGTCACTCACTAGAACGAAAAAAAAATCCACACAAATTTCCAAAACACCCCCGGTGGGGCGATCTCTCCTTCTGACCTCCCTCCCCTTCTAGCTAGCCCTCACCTCCACCCTCTCCCACGTGAATTATCAGCCCAGAGAGTAAGGCCAGTATCTGTTCATATCCAGAGGGACTGTCAAAAATATCTTCAAAAATGATATGCCATGATGTACGTAAGCATAGAGAAGAAATCTAGACTATCAAAAGTTTGTTTGTTGGGGTTTTAAAAAAATTTTTTTTTAGTTTCATTATTAATTCCTCTTATGTGGTGCTGTTCTCCTTTTAAATTTAATCTTTTAATTTTGCTTTTGAACTAGAATGGATGACATAGTCAGGACTTTGTGCATTTGTGCCCGATGCTCACGAATCTTAATACCTGGTGTGGTTCTCCTAACGAACACTCCCCTTGATAAGGCAGAGCAGTGAATCCATTCATAACCTCCCATTGCGCAACTGCACCCATGGTTAGGCTGTTGGAAAGTTTACGCCCTCTGACAACCAAAACTCAGCGAGGGACTGCTGGTTCATTGTTAGGCCTGTTTGTGATGTGTTACTCCAGGGAGCCAATTCAGGAGGCATTTATTGGCAACTGTCATCAAGATAGAAGATCTTACTAAAATGAATATGTAATTGCCTTCGAAATAGAACGAGAATCCCAGGGCCTGCCAATTATTTTTAAGTAAATACATTCAAATTTCTAACTGTTCATGTTTTCTCTCCGGTGAAGAGAGTAAATGCTTTTTGCTGTTCAGTCATAGTAGTTCGTGAATTTATCACAAATCATTTATAAAGTATCTATAAATAAATATAAAAAGTGCCTGAACTTAGAAATCCAACTCATAACCCCCAAACACTTCTCGTAGCCCTTTGGCTTTTGAATTTTTCATCGCTGCATACTCTCTGAAGACTCGAAGATGCCAAAACCTTCAGTGCACCCTCCCCCTCGCCCCGCTTAGATTCTGGATCCCAGATAGGCAGTAAGAAGAACGAAGGACCTAAGCTCTCCTCTTCCCGAGTTTCAGGTAAGACTCCGGCCTGTGTCGCTGGGTTGCGGACACTTGGGGAGCTCTCTCAGACCGTGCCATGGGGCACCTCTACTGTCCCACCATCATGTGTGGGGACCTCTGAACTCCAGAGGGAAATGGAGCCTCACTCCTCCGTCGCCCCGCCGTCACGCTTTCAGTGAGTTCCATGGTTCCTCCGCGCTCCTTGCTGCGAATCCCTGACGGGGTCAGGCTCAGAGGCCCGGCCTCTTTCTCCGCCCCAGCCTGCAAGACATCAGCTGGTGTGTGCAGACAGGACAGAACGAGACCACCCCCTGCCTTCTGTGCGGGCCAGAACCTCAGCTCTTGCTGATGGAACCTAAGCTGCCATTTGGCCTCAAAGCTGTTGTGTATGGCAGGAGCTCCAAAATTCCAGTTTGAATTTCAAATGTCAGCTTGTTTTTTTATTCAGCAGATCTTTTCTGGACCCCAGGATGTGTCAGATTCTATTCTGAGCATTGGAAACAGAAAAGCGTACAGGACCAAGACTCTGCCGTAGAGTTTGCATCCAGTAAAAGTGACATTTGCCTTCCTGCCTGTTCCTTCAGTAGTAACGCTAACTTGAGGACACAGAGGGTGAAGTGCCTTTGCTACGTGTTCAGGAGAAAACAAGGCACTTTGCACGTGGGGTGAGGCGCTATAGCATTGAACACATCAAACCATTTCCCCACCATGGATATTTATTAAGCAGCACCTTCCTCAATGCCCACATCTAATCTGTCACCAATGAGTCACCTCACAAGTGATTCTCAAATTTATCCTTCCTGCCTTTCCTGTGCAGGGCTCTCTCTGCTTCAGCGTATTCTTACTGACCGGACTCCTAATTGCCTCCCATTTTCAGTCGCCTCCCTCTCTAGTTATGTTATTCCAGTTCCAATTAAGCTGTTCTCTCTTTTAAACTTTTCAAAGGCTCCCCTGATAACCTATAGTAAAGTTCAGTGTATTAATTGAACTTACTTAATGGTCCCCCTTCCACATTCCATTATTCTGGTACCGTGTACCGTTCCAAACTCATTTCCCTCATTTCCCTCCTGCCCCCAGCAACATGTGCTGTCGATTCTCCGTGCTCGCGTTCATGTTTGGAATACCCTTCATTGC